GCCATCTACTCACGTTAGTGGACCGCCTCAGCTCACCTTAACCTAAATAATTGTCACTTTGTTTTTAACAGACAGCTTGCAGACCATCACAGATCAACAAAAGAATCAACACACAAACCATCTCGCTGTAGGGATTACCTCTCCTTAGATCCAGAACGGGCCTTGAGCCATGTGTCACACAAGAAAATAATAGAGGAAAAAAGGATTATCAAGGATGCTTCCAGTCACTCAGTCCTACTCCACGTTCCCATTTAATCAGTGCTTATACATAATCCTGAAGTGTCCTCGAAGCCTCAGCTGCAGACAGCTCCCTAACACCTTATAGCAAATTCTAGACATGGAGCCCAAACTGTAGCTGCTACAAGGAGAGAACAGGGGGAATCAAGGGCACCATCACCACTGTATATTGCAGCTTTACATGGTTGCTAGCACATGTCTAGCAAAAACAACTTCCCCTCATCATGTGGTGAGCAAAAAATACCATCTCCAAACTGGTCATGGGGAAGAAGCCAAGAGAAAAGGCTGTGCAGAAGTTGGACTAGATTTAGCAAATATGTTTCTGCCTGAATTTCTCCTCTTAGCTTGAATCAAAGTCCACACTGTTTATCAAATATTTTGGCACTGTGGGAGGTAGAGGTCTGTGCTGAGGGTGATGAAGTGAGGGCAGCCCTGTGGAAGTGATTGTCCTTCCCCACTCATTAGCTCAGGCTCAGCTGTTTCCCCATTTCCAGACTGAAAGGAGAGCTGAGAGAGGGGACTTTTATTTCCCTGGGGACAGAGACATCATCAATTATCTGCCATTCTCTGCTGCAAGCTGTCAGTGAATAGGGCAGAGGAGTACTGATAGGATTTCACCTTATCCCTTGACTCTGATGGGCTCATCATTCAACTGCTGTGCACTTAACATGGGCAGTACTAATTATATTAATTATACTTCTACACAGGGCTGCTTAAATTAGCAGTAAAGAGACTGGTGTCTTTTAAAATAAAACATCCCTGGTTCATTAACTATATAGATTTAAAAGTTTAAGCGTAGTCATTATATCCACTGCTGAAGTGGATCTCTCAGATCACAGAAGCATTTAATATCATTTTAGATGTGCAACTTGCATTATATTGAAAGCAAAATTTATACTGCATGTAGAAGACAGTAGCATTATATCATGTGACTGCTAAATGTAGACTGAGAAACTTGATTGCTAGCTTGGCATAGCACCAGAATCCCCTTGGCAGTGTTCAGCTGTGGGGATACCCAGCAGGTCAGTAACAGATCTGGGTGAGTCCTCATGGGCTGAGCCCTACTGAAATTATGCTAGCAACTGTATTCATGCATATCATCAGGATATAACTGTATTATTAAATTCAGAGGTAGGTTTATGTAGTTGATAACAGAGAGACCTGTGAATGGTTTAAGAGGCAGGAAAAGAAAGCCCTCTGAACAAAGGATATCACAACATGACAGGTACTCCTCACTCAAAGTGTATTTGCAAGATGGGTCTCATTAATTATCCATCGATGCAGTGCCCATATGCAGACATTGTCTCTGTGAATCTGGGCCAAGGGGCTGATGCAGAGTCTGCAGTTTTCTGAGGTTGGTTGGAAGTGTCTGAGATATTCATATAATGAATATTAGTTTAAATCTTAAGAACAGATGGTGTTTGTACAATAGAGTCAACCTTTAACCTAACCAATGGAAAACAACTGAACAGAACTGGGAGATTTCACCAGTTCCAACTCTTAACTCCTTTTATCTCAGTTTTCTTCTGTACAGAAATTAAACATGCATTATTCACCAAGATTATATATAATATATAGGGAGAGGCCACAAGCCTATCTGGGCTCTGAGTTCTGACCATTTTATGCAAAACCAAAGCAAAAGTAGCTCCAGGCAGGTCTTAAATTTGCATTTCAATTGCACTTCTTGCACATTTTTTCTGGTATCTTGGGGAAAGTCTTAGCTACTAAAGCCTTTCAAAACCATCTGAGTGCTTGAGCAAAATAAAGAAAATAAATAAGTACATTCCTTTTCCAGGATTATTTATTTTTTAAGTTTGCCCAAAGGAAAAGAAAATCAAAACAGTTCCAGTGTTTCTGCACAGTCATATCTGGACACTAAGATTCTGTTCAGAGTGAAAGCCATTCATATTCTGTTCATATTAATCTGAACGGAAGAGACATTGTGCAGAAGATGCTAGCATTTTCACAACCGCTTTGATTCTAAATCCCTTATCTTTTCATGGCCAATGTGGTTGTGATTAGCACCCAGGTTCAAGTTTTGTTTTCTCTCTCTTATGTTTTGAGGAATGGTTGATGTTTATGCAGCTAAATCTCCTCTGACTGTCAGTGTTGTTTAGCTCCTCCTGGGTCTCCAGATGTTGTCAGGGTGTGTGTGTTAATCATCCTGTCAAGCGATGCAAGTGCTGAACACTTGCAAGGGATTTTCTGCTCCTTGGCACTCTGCACCCGATTTTTAATGTAAATCCTTGTATGGGAGCATGCAGATTGCAGCCTAATTGTCTAAAGGTTATTTGCAAACCCAAAGGGAACTTGCTGTGCAGATCCCAAAGTACTGTGGTTAGGTGGTTTCTGCTCTGTCACTCAGGAGGTGGCTCTCTGTGGAGCTTGAACTGCTAGGCACAAGTTGGCACAGGGAAACTCTGTACTGCCTATAGGGATGTGAGGTTTGACCCTGGAAGCTGCGAAATGCCTTCTGGCAAGTGCTGTGTCAGGTATCAGCAAGCCTGAGCACAGCTCAGCCCCACAGAGGTGTGCAGAGAGCCTTATGGATGTAGCGGTGAGTACAGAGCCAAATTTGGGCTCTCATTGACCGAAGACTCAAGTACCTCCAGCTGTGGCTGGAGCATATTTATCCCAGTGTGAGTTAGCCAAAGTGCATCCTCACTGTGTGGTATCTTCTGAGTTTGTGAGGAGCAGCTGCTCCAGAGCCTCTCTGCTCCTCCACCCTCTCTCCTGACTGTGGGTTTCTGCCTAGTACAGGTGTTCATGGTCTTGTCTGCCTGAGAGCAACTTCTCTGTCCCAGGGGTTTATCCTTGCAGAGAGGTTAAACTCTCTGAACCCTGAGCTGGGTGGGCTGCACCTGGGCAAGGCCAGGGACACGAATGGTGGGGTACCATTACCTGCTGACCACAGGGAGGAGAAAACTGGTTTTGACAGCAGCCTGTGTGGTATCTCTGAGACTGTTCAGTCAGGAGGGCAGCCCTCACTTCCAAAACAGGAAGATGTACTTTGGTTGAGTTGTGCAATAGAGAAAATGTCTCATTTAGCAGTAGTGCTGACAATGCTGGGACTGGAAGAAATGTTTCTGGCAGAGGTCCTGCAGAAATATTCCTGAGAAAGCAGCTCCTTGGGCAATGCAGTCTCCTCCAAAGAGAAATAGTAGTTTGCCATGGCACCTACTGCCACCCCAAAGAGTATTTGCCCAGCCTAATGCTACAAATCAAATATAACTGAGTAGTGCACAATGTTTCCCCACATATTTGCTTTCTGCAGTGAATGTTTGCCATGCAAGCACCACATAGCTCTGGTCCTTATCGTTAATAAATATGTTCAGTTGTGAAGGCTCACTAGATCTCCGGCTTTCACAAATAGCTGTTTTTTTGGGCACTCGCAATCATTCCTGATCTGTGGGGATGAAAGGGCAGTTTAGACTTGCTGTTACCCCCTCAGCCCTGTAGGTCAGAGTTTCATGAGCTCCACTGCCTGCAGGCAGCTCCAGCCCCGGCATACCATCCTGCTTCATCACCAAGCTCATCCCTCAGCCCAGCTACTGGACTGAAATGAGCTAGGGGCATGGGGCAGGCTGGGTCCAGCTTTTAAAATAGATGGAAAAAAGCTGCTAAAATCCCTCTTTTTCATTTTCTGACAGGTTATTTTTAAGCTGGCCTAGTTTCCCAGACTATTTCACAGCACAGTGGTGTCATCAGTTGAACTGACATCCCAGGAAGGATGGAGGTGGTGAGAGGATGGGTCCTGCAGGATGGGGCTGCACTGGCTGACCAGCCCCCTCTTTTCCAGCATCCCCGTTTTCCTCCTGCTCCCTGCCCTGCTGCCTGGCCTGTGTTGGCCATGGTGCTCCTCAAAGATCACTGGGACCATTCCTCTTGCCAGCGCAGCACAAAACCAAGCCAGCAGAAAAATCAATTTAATTGTCTGCCAAGGGCAGAGACAAGAAAAACAGTGGATTAAGGAGAAGAGGAAGATAAAGGCATCCCCCTTTTCCCTTGTGGCACAGCAGATAGAGCTGCTGTGAACCAAAGCACTTCTCTGCTATTTATTTGTGGATAGATTGAAGTCATCCTAGTTTAGTGCAGATGCTAAGCTGGGCACTGGAAATGAGCACACAGAGGGCAAGGGCTTCCTCCCTGCTGAGACCCCCCCAGACACATGAAATCCAGAGCATACAGTGCCTGGAGCTTGTTTACTGCTCTTCAGTCATGGTGGAGGGCATCCCTCTCATCACAGCAACCCCTGGGCTGAACAGCCATGGGAGCAAGAATCAAAGGGGAGCTGCAGGGCATTTGTGATGTATCAATCCTTTTTAAAATTATTATTGTGCATAATCACAGTTCACAGTGACAGCAAGCGCCTCCTAAGAGCTCTGCACGCTCCCATAAGAATTCCCAGGACAGATGGGGACACTGGGGCTGGGGTGAAGCATGCCAGGCGTGGCAGAAACCAGGGAAGGCATTTGGATTATCACACTGAAGTATCTTGTTCCTAGTCCCACGTCCAGACCCTCTTTGTGTTTCTGGTACATTTTCAGTAGACCCTGGGCTGGAAGTCAGAAGTTAAAATAGGACCGTTTTGGTTTTGAGTGGGGATGATTTGGAAATGCAAAGAGATTTGTGCCTTGGCTTGCAGCCCCTCATGGGGTTCAGGTACCCCTTAATGTCACAGATTGACATCAGGCTGTCTGGCCTGCCTGCCTGCCTTTTACTGTAACTCCATCCTCACTGACATGCTTTCTCTTGTTTTTCAGGAATATCTCCAAGGCTCCCTGAAATCATGTCAATAGGATCACATTCATTTTCCCCAGGAGGTCCTAATGGGATTATTAGAAGCCAGTCCTTTGCTGGCTTCAGTGGGCTTCAGGAAAGACGGTCCAGGCAAGTGCCCTTGCTCTCTAAGGGGAATTTCAAAATCAGGCTTTAAAGGAATCCTGGGCTTTAGGGGATGAAAGGGGAAAGGAGGTGATAGAGGACATCTTTCTCTCTGACTCTGACAAATAAAGTGTCCTAGGCTAAAATGTCTGTATATATTGTTTGTATAACTAAGCTGTTACCCTCTGCCTGTTTGCCTCTCCCCTATTAATGCAGAGCTTCCTCACATGCCTCAGAGCTGTGAGAGAATTTCAGAGAATCATTTTAACTTAGGCAGTGGTCTTTTGAACATGTGAAATGTGCAGGAACATTGCACATGATTCCCTTGCCATCCCCTCCTGTTTAAGACTACTGCTACCTAAAAGACAGTTTTCTCCTTGCTGCACCATTACAAATTCAAAACAAAGCTGTTTCCCTCAGCTTGGCTGCTGAGCCTTTCCGTGCACCACTTCTTAACTAGACAGGATTTAGGGCTTTGAGTCAGGCATGCCCAAGCCATCCAGTCCCGCATGCTACAGAGGCTACTTTATAATTGGTTTTAACTTGTGTAGTCTCCCAGTGTCAGACCCCCATTAGGCAATTGAGGAGTAAGAGCAGGCAAAGGGTTGCCTCCCATTGTCAGCCCAAGTCAGTGATGGTTGTTAGATACTGACCTGCCCACCAGCAAAGTCCCCAAAGAGGCACCTGTATGCAGCACAACTGTCCTCACTTTGCCATACACTCCATACTCATGACCAGTGGGGTGTGATGCTGTTCTCGTCTCGTAATCAAATCCCAACCTTCCTTAGGACCCGCAGGCTTTACACCTGAGATTATCTGGGCTCCCCTTGATTTTTTGCAGCTGGATGTAGCTCAGGACTCTCATGGGCGCTCAAACGTAAGTTACGACAAGCATGGTATAAGACAGAAATGTCTGATGAGCCTCAGACTCAGCCTTGCATTTCCAGACAAGCTTTTATGTCTTGGGAAGCACATATCCCAGACTGCTTGAATTCTTAACCTGTAAAGAAATACAGTCCTTTAACTGGCAGGCACAGAAGCAGATTCATTTTTGCTAGCAGAGATAATATCATAAGATTTCTTCAAGCTACACTCCTTTGAGATTTCTATGATTTATAGGGATTTCTTCCTCTTTGATGTTCATTTTGCAGGTGTAACTCCTTTATTGAAAATTCCTCTGCGCTCAAGAAGCCCCAAGCAAAGGTGAAGAAAATGCATAATTTGGGCCATAAGAACAGCACCACTCCCAAAGAACCCCAGCCTAAAAGGATGGAAGAGGTCTACCGAGCCCTGAAGAGTGGCCTGAAGTATGAGCTTTTATCCTGCTTGTTGATTGAAGCTTTCTGTGACTTTTTAGAGCCTGGAGAAACAAGAACAGGGATCCTTCCTCATAAGAGATGAACATACACCTCTTGAAATCTAGACTGTGACACTTGGTATCTAAAATACTTGTTTAGGAAACAGGAATACAGGAGGCAGAATCCCATTTCCATTTTGAGAAAAGCTCCCAAAGTCTGGGATTTCAACATCAGATTTTTTTCCCCTCTGAGTTTCTTAGAGTCCTATCAAAGGCTTGTATTGCCTTTCAGATAACATCCCAGATGATAACAGGGCTTTTATCAGCCAGATACAGGGGCAGCGACTGGAAGGCACCAGCCCATAAACTCAGCAGCAGATTAGCTTGCTTGAAACTGGTTCAAGGTAAAGAGAACACCGAGCTCCTATACACACTTAAATAAGTGGGCTCCTATTTATTCCCAAAAAGGCAGCAGGGAGCTGCTTTTAGGACAGATCAGCGTAAATGAGTTTTTGTCTGTAAACACATCCAGTGAGGAAAGCCATTTGTTAGACAGATTTTCTTTTAGGATGGTCATCAGCCAGCTTGGTATGTGCTGCAGAGCTCATGCATCGTTCTCTGGTTTGTGTTTGCAGTGAGTATCTGGAAGTTCACCAGACAGAGCTGGATAAGCTGACTACTCAGTTAAAAGACATGAAAAGAAACTCACGCCTGGTACGTGCCGTGCTTTTTCACCCTGTAGGTGCACAGAGGCCCTCTTGAGGTGCTGGAGCAGTCAAGGGATGAGCGTGGGGTACAGGGAATTTGCACTGATGCTTTTCTTCCCTTCTAGCCGTGGTCTTGTTTGTGATTTCTGTTGAGTGTCAAACACTACTTTCTCATGGTGCTGTTGTGTTACAAAATTAATCAGTTTCTTGTTCTCTGTTGCAGGGAGTCCTGTATGATTTAGATAAGGTATGGTACTCCCTTTAACACTCACTTTGCAAGGAAGCATTAATATCTGTATGGTGTACATGGAAACCTTTCTCAGAGGGCTCTGCTAGCCACACCAACACCTGCATTTTCAAAGGAAGAAGTCCCGCTCCCCTCCTCTTCCCAGGGGCTCCGGTATTGCCCTTTAATGCAGCATCAAACACAGTGTGCTCACTCTCTGGAATCAAACCTACCCCACCAACCATTTTCCTGAGGTCTGCAAGGTCAAACTGGCTCTGGGATGGGCACAGACAGAGACAGACCCCTGCCAGGCAAGGAAGGAAGGAAGCAGAGGAGAGACTTCCTTCTTCTGTCAGCTGACAGACATTAAATCCATTTCCTTGTGCAAATTCTTTCAGCCAGCTCCAATCAGATAGGGGCTGATAGGGGTGCACCAAGGGGCTGGGGTGGGTGGGTCTAGGTCAAGCCCCAGTTCATTCCTGCTCTTGCCAGTTCTGAGGAAGAAAAATTGAAAATGTGTTTTCCCTGCAGGAGAGTTTGGGTGAAAGAAAAGCTTTCAAGAACATTTCCTGAGCAAGTCTGTTTTTTTTCAGTCAAAATGCCAAGCTTGGGTTTATTCTCAAAACCAGCTTTGTAAGGAAGACAGTGGGTCTTGAAATGCAAAACCTGATTGATATTAATATGGGATTATGGAATATCTCTGCTTCCTTTGTTTTTGTTTTTTTTTAATAATAATTGGAAAAACCTAGAGAAATCCCATAAAATAAAAACTCTTTTTTATTTAAAAATATACATTAGGTAAATAAGTGAAGGAGCTCTGTTGTCAGCACCAGCTTAACAGTGGTAGGTTGGGACAACTGATTTCAGATTCATGGTCAAGGAAATCCTGTGCATTTTAATGAGGAATATCTTGGATCCATGGGGACTAGCAGAGCTAGCGTGGCAGTGTCTTACTGATTTATTTAAAGGTGCCTCACCCTCTGCCTTTTCCTTTCTTTCAGCAAATCAAAGCGGTTGAGAGATACATGAGGAGGCTGGAGTTCCACATTAGCAAGGTAATGAGCTCTCTCCTATCACCTTTCTTCTGCATCTGTTCCTATATTATTGAGGAAACAAACCCTTGGCCTCCTGCTACCCCTTTGCACTGGGGAGGCCGCTCCCAGATTTGCTGTTTTCCCCATGATAGGCTGGTGGTTGGAGCCAAAGAAAGGGTTTCCACATAGACCCCAAAGTCCAGCCGTGCCCCAAGACACTCCCACATGCTTTTAGGTACAGGGAGAACATAGTGTTGGAGACCTGCTGGGGAAAATCTATCTCACAGCATGCTCACTGTGAAACTGTAGGTGGAAAGAGAGTTGCATCTGAAAGCAATTTAATTCAGCAGTTATCTCTAGCACACACAGCAGCTAGTTTGGATTTATTCTTGGATTTCACTGCTAATGCTTTTGCTGCGTGGTTTGGGGCCCACATCCACTTGAATGTATCGGTGAGAGTATCAGTGGAGGTACTTGTGATTTACACTAATACGTTTTAGAGCTGGATAAAATCCATGGCATTTATTCTCTTACTTATAAACATAGCTGCTAGTGATTAGTTGCTTTTTTAAGCCTGACAAAGGAATGAATTATTTTTGACAGATGAAATGTCTTTTGAGAGTCATTTGAAAAGCATTTGCGCAGCTTCAAGTCCTCTAATTATGACAACCTATCCAAACCTTTTAATTTCAGTCCTCTCTTACTCTTGGAGCCGAAAATAAAAATATAAATCGTAAGGCGATAGACTGAGATTTTGTTCCCCAAGCCACCTACTCTCTTGCTGGCAACATGAATGGCAAAAATTAGTACTTGAAGAACATTTCAATTCAAATCCTTCCCACTTCAGCCTGCTCAGAGCTAATGCTTTCTGGGTTTATAATAAGAGTGAAAAGCACCAAATGCAAGAGGTAACGCTGGTCAGTGTTACTCAGGCTTGCCAACTACATGAGTTCACTCTCTGTAACCCACAGCAACAGAGACAAAAGGAACTGAGTGTGTGGCGTTAAAAGCCCACAGGCTTGGGCAGGTGGAGAAGCATCTTTGTTTCTAATGATAGAGGAGGATTTCTTCAGCAGTATTTAATCAGGGACACAGAGAGGCCTTCTGTCTTTTACCTGCCACTGCTCTGTAAAGGAAGCAAAACAAGGAAAATGGGGTGCACAACAGCAGATCCAACATACTTGGGGAGCACATGGGCATGTCCTAGCCACACTCACATGGGCAGGAGCAGGATATCAATCCCAGACCAAGGCTCCACTCCGATGTCAGAAGTAAATACCAAGTGACAGCTATTTATAGTAGCTGTCTTTAGCCGGCTGGCTTGCAAGAGAGACAGGAGTATGAGTGCAGAAAGCTTTTTTTGTAACTTCAAAATGGCAAAATGCTACCTGTGTTGTGTCTTCATTACCTTATGCTGAACTCCTTTCATTTTGCAAAGCATTCCCTGTTTTGGGTAGGGTGCCCTCAGGTCAGAGGCTTCAGCCACCAGTTGTCCAAGATAGCCTTGTGAAAACTGACCCAAGGCTTTGAAGTCATCAGAAAGACAAGTCCTGTTCCAAAGTAGCAACGGCACTTTTTGTTAGAGATTAAGCAGGCTTGGAAAATTAGATTTGAAACATGCCTGGATTGTCACATCAGGTGCATCCCTAATGCAGCACACAGTTACAGACTGATGAAGCTGAGGTGCTGGATGTGAGAAATACATACTGAGAAGTTCTGCTGTGAAAATCCATTCCTGAGCAGGAGCACTGTGGGACACAGAGTGACCTCTTGATTTGAGACATAACAATGGAAAGAGTTAATTTAGGTAAAACCCAAATACCCTGTTTTAGGAGGGACATTAGAAGCAGAAAGGAGAGACAGCTTCTTCCATTCCTGTCCTTCTTCTCAACCTGATTGTCAGGTTAGAAAACCCACATCTTCTGTATCTGACAGATTTAGCTTATAAAAATATAAAACATTATATACAGCTGCTGTATATGTGTACATATATTACTCAGCTGGAGTAAATGTATATGTTCAGTACAGGGATTAGAGGGAAAAGGGAAACCAAAGCACAAGGCATGTAAATCCATTGCCCCTCAGAAGCTAGATCCAGGTGAGACTTCAAACAGTGTGTGACTATGTTTTGCAAGACTTCTAGAACGCTTACTATGTTGGGTCCCTAAGTTATGTCAAAGGAGCGTAAGAAGATGACTAGATGTAAATGTCTGGGGGGGTGGAAGTTCAAAGTACCTTTTTAACATCAGCTGTTTGTAAGTCTTTTACTTGTGCTGATTTATAATATGACTCCCAGTTTCTGGAGGATGGATGGTAAGAGTTCAAAAATACCGCTCCCAGCTTCCAATACTGCCTATTAGTCAAATGTTGCAACAGCCTTGATCCATGGCTGATATTTGGGAGCCAAAGCCACTGCTGATCCTGTTAAAATGTGCCATTTACCACTTCCAGCCGCATTTGGCAGCATGGGCATTGCAGTTGCCTTTTAAAGAGCTCTTCCACAGAGAGATGTTTGAGAAGCTGGCTGCATTCCTGCCTCAGTGTTATGACGGGGAGAACATGAGTAGCAATGCTTAGAGGCATGCAGGGCAAGCAGGTGAATTGATGGCATTTACTGTTGCTCTATTGAGATTTTTACAGCGGAAGTTACTTTTATCTTGTGTTTCTTTTCCACAGACTGTAACACTATCACAGCTTCATTTTCCAGCCTCTCCGTTGTATATAATGGTTTGGCTGAGTTTTCTTGTAGTGCAAATGACTTCACTGTGTTGATTTTATTTTGCTGGATTTTCCAGGGTTTTTTTCAGTACTCTTTCCTTGTCCCCCCACTAGGTGGATGAGCTTTACGAAGCCTATTGTATCCAAAGACGCCTCTGTGATGGTGCCAGCAAAATGAAGCAAGCTTTTGCAATGTCTCCTGCCAGCAAAGCAGCTCGAGAGAGTTTGACCGAAATCAACAGGAGCTACAAAGAGTACACAGAGGTGCATCCTAATCAGTTCATTATTATCACTCTCACTGTTTAAAGCCGAGGGAACTTTGCCACTAATTGCAGGGAGAGTTTCATCCAGATAGAAGAAGTACAAGAAAACTCAGCAAAGAAGAATTAGTATTTGATTTTCTTCAGGTGAATGCCTGATGACTGACAAAGACAGGTTACATGGGCCCAAAGAGCTCCTTGAAATAACAGTTTAGATTCTGTGAGAGCAGAGTTATACCTAGGAACTTCAGCACAAAAGCATAAGTAAAAATCTGCCCCAAAACTACTTAAACTCCAAATAGCTCCTTCCTGCCTGCAGATTTAGAGATGGCAGGTTGACTGGAAACCATGCACCTACAGACATATGCTGCATCCTATGTTTTGTATTTGCTGTGATCAAAATCTATGTTATTAAACAGGCAGTAGATGATGAACAACAGTCTAATAGTGTTGCAAACATCCCAGCACACAAGCTGTGACAATATTCCAAAATGTGAAGGAAGAGCTGGAGAGGGTCTAAATACCCAGTCTCTCACAGTCTTTCTTAGTGTAGTCCATGTTTCTTGAGAGATTCAATCATGCTGGAAGCCACTTTGGCATAGAGCTGCTGCTGTTGGCACAGGTTGTGGCTGGAGAGGACCGGAACAGCGAGCAGGTTACACTCCGAGGACAAATCCTCCTTTTGCCATCAGGAGGATTAGCACGCAGCAGCAGAGGAGCACGGGATTGCAGTGTCAAAAAAAGCAGGCATAGCTGCCATTTTTTATGGCGAGACCTAGCTAAACAAGAAGGATGGCTCTGAGATTGGTTTTATTGCAAAATGTCTTTAATTTGCCTAACAGAATCTATCCTTACAAACAGACCTTTAAACAAAAAAATCCTCACTGTTTTCTTTTCCAACACAGAACATGTGTACCATAGAAGCAGAGCTGGAAAACCTATTGGGGGAGTTTTGTATCAAGATGAAAGGTAAGTGCCTTTTCACCTTTCCCTTCTTTCTCAGAAACCATAGCTAGCAGTTGCTGCACACATTGGTGGGAGCATTGAGACATGCTGCGTGTTTAACATGCATTTATGACAGGTGGGGTGTCCCACCCCCCCCACACCCATTGCTGAGCCTTCAAACCTCAAATTTACACCCCTGCCTACTGGAAAGCATTACAGAAACAGGAACACAATGCTTAAAGACTTCCTGAGATTCTGCTTTTTGTTTTATAGACTAATTACCTCCCACAAAGACTCCTCCCAACAGCCAAAGCAATTCAGTTTCGAAGGCTGCTGTAATTTTTGCCTCTATTTCAGTAATTCTTTGAGAAGGTGACTAGGAAATTATCTGAATTTCCATGGAGCTGAACTTGAAATTTAAAATACCTTCTTAATTTGACATCAGCTATTTCTGACTCCCTTACTTTTGCTAATTGTGACCAATACTATTTTTGACCAAATGTTAAAAAAAACAAAAAGCCAGGAATAGTTTTCCTAGATAAGTCTGTGATGGCATTCACCTTTCCTTTTTATTCCTTGCCTTTATGACAGGGGAGTTTATGGGGTTTGAATACAATGGAATCAGTTTTGCTTGAAGCCTCAATGGTTCATCAGGTATTGCTAATGCTGTTGTCCCTTTAAGACCCAATGTCCTAAAGAAGAGATTGGCAGGGGATATCTTTTTTGGATCTTCAGTCACTGGCATGAGAATAGTTCTATAAAACAAAGTCAGCATCTAAATATTCATGAACTCTTAATTCTTCACTTGATATCTTGCCATTTAAAACATCCAGAGTATTGCTGGTGGAGTTTAGAGAGCTCACAAATCTCATAGAAGGTTTTGATTCTGCCTGCCTCGTCACAGTCATTTCCTATGATTGCATTGCATAAGATTAAGATTAATCTTAGATTAAATTAAAATAGCTACTCTGCACTCTCATATTAGAGAAAACAATTGCAGCAGATGTTGGCGATCTCCTAGCTCCATCCCTCAGATTTTAGAGGAATACACAGAGACTGAGCCAGATATTTCTGTACAGGAACCCACAGCAGAACCACAGCATGGATGAAACAAAGTCAGTGTACAAAGGGATTTTCCAGCTCCCTTGGAGCATTGCTTTACTTGCTGTAAGTGCAGTGCACAGTTCCTGATAGCGGGACATGTTGTAGAAGGTGTCACAGTGTCACAAATGTCTTGGCTGAAGAGCCCTGACCCCTTTTCTTTTGGATGCCAAATCCTCTGGCAGAGCTCAAGGGCTCTGTAGAAGGCAGGTACTGCGCTCACGTGTGGGAGCAGAGCACAAAGCACGAGCAGCAGCTGCTTCTGAGCACAGTTTGCATCACGTAAAGAAGTCCAAAGTAGAAAACAGCAAAGAGAAATGCCGTATTAAATATTCTCTAATTAGGGCATCTGCGATTTCTATCTAGATAGTTTTCCCTAGGAATAGGAATCCTGTAGGATAATACAGCCATCACTACTGCTAAGGCTTGCAACAGCTCTGGCACAAAAGCCTGCAGATCACACAGCAAGTTTCCCCCTTAAGTTATACTACAGCATATCCAGCTAACTTTAGGATCTAATTTAAAATCAAAGCATTCCTCTCCCCAAAGCTTATCTGTTCCTAGCCATTCCAGTGCAAGTTATTTTTATTTTGTGCCCTCTGTCACTTACACTGAAAGCAAGCCAACCTACACAATGCTGTCAGGGGAGCTGCACAGAGCTTTTATGACTGGTATTTATAGAAAAAGAAAAAGCCTAATAATTTTTCAAAATCAAGATAATAAATGTGCCAGCAGGCTTAGCTAACTGTTCAGGAATAATCAGTTGGTGAAATTTACCAGGGAAATCCAGTGTGGAAATTCCTGTATGGAATCTGCGTGTCCTGTTGTGATGTACAGGGAAGTGCCCTTCTAGCTGTTTCAAGAGGCAGGATGGCAGGAGGTGAAAAGCCCAGATGTTTCACTCACAGGAGAGCAATACACTGGCCTGACACACCGGTGGCTCTGCGACACGGAGCCCACCATCAGCAGCCACAGTTCAGCATCCTGCACACCAGCAGAGGAGCTACACGTGCTGTGTGAGCTTCACGTGGCCCTGCCTCCTTACCACAGCCATGGGATGGCCCTCCCCCTAATTACTTATGCTGACCCCCCAGAAGTAATTTCCTGTCCTGTCTGCGTTAAAGGCACAGTGCTTTTACAAAGGCATGGTGTGTGAAATTGTATGATAGAGCCATTGGTTCCTGCCATTTTTTTAGTCCCCAAGAGCCAGTCACCAAAAACTTGTTTCCTGTGAAAGTACTCATGCCCTATTGTCAAGTCAGCATTTAGCCACCTCTTCATCATGCTGAAAAGACTTGATCAGCCTGGTTGGGCCAGTCACAGCTCACAGATCTAGACATCCATATGAAGTTTTAAGCCGGAGTTTCCTTGCCCACCCACCCCATCCACTGGGCAAAAGAAAAAGGACCTTTTATTTTCCTCATATGCTTTTGGTGATGTGTCCCAGGAGAGATCAAATTCACTTATAAAAGCATGCCTGAGGAGAGAGAAGCAATGATGGAGTGCTAGTAATCTTAAATTATTTATAAACAGCAAATAAATTAGAAACGAATTGGTAATATGAGCTCTCTGCAAGGGCCTCTCTGGTTCTGCTAAACACTAAGGTGAGCAAAGAAAACTATTTTCTGGTCAAAGAAATGGAAGAGGCAGATAAACAGATCATGGAGACAGTCCATGACTGCATGCAGGGATTGAGTTGTTCCTACAGTACAGCTAGAGGACTAGTGCATCCCTGCAAATGCTGCCAGCACTAGAGTTCCTCATAGTTGCCTTGATTTTAACACACCCCTGTATGTTCCATTGTGGCATCCCTTTCTCTGACACAGGCTTTGTATGTAGCCTAAGACAGTTTCTTTGGGCACTGCAACACTAGAGGCATAGATTTAGGCTCACACAGGCAAACTGGGTAAGTTTTTATACCAAAACAAGTGCAATGGCTACATACTGAGGGGATGTGGGAGAAAGGAGAAGCTCCCTCTGTGGGGAAAACAACCAGCTGAATCCTGTGGAAAGGCAGGCCAGGAGAGGGGTGGTAATTCCCCTTGAATTTCAGCGTGATCCCTCAGGAAACTTTCACTTCATACGCACAGTGCTGATATAAAAATAGCATTGTTATGTCCTACCTTAAAAAACCCCAAAACCACACAGAGATCACAAGTGCTTTGCTGTGCTACTTCTCCTGCCCTGGGGAAAAATGGGATTAATCTGGTATTACAGATGTCAGTCATATTTCATGATGCACTTACTGTTGAAAGACACTCAGCTGTTACGGGAATGATAATGTTATGGAAACGCCAAGCAGAAGGAGCCCCTGTTGCTTTCTGTGTCTCTCTGAAGATGTACTAAAAAGGAATCTGTGTTAAAGTGTGGAGCTGGGTCGGGTTAGCATTGAGCAGCACTACAGGGGATCAGCAGCTCGCCTACACCTCAGCATGGGAAGGGCTCTCAGCTGAGTGTCTGAAGCCAGGTGACGTCAGGAAGCTGTGTCTCCTTTTTCTGTAGTTATTATATAAAAGGAAACTTCAGGCTGTCATAGGGAAAAAAGCTGGAAGGTATAAATCTTTCATGTGCAAGAAACTGCAGTCCAATGAATTTTATACAAAATAAGGAGGAAAATAGAAAATTAGGATGGTGGGCTGTCTTGGTTTGAAGGGTGCACAGGCAGCAGTAAGACGGGTATATAAACAGCAGCTGGGGGGCTGCAGGAGAGTGTTGCTCTCTTCTGTCCAAGTGTGGCAGTGGTGGCCCTGGGGACCCCACTGCACCCCACTTCTGGGCCCAGCCACGCTTGGCAGCCCAGGTCCTCCCACAGCCACTCTGTGTCTTTCCTTCTCAGGTCTGGCTGGCTTTGCTCGGCTCTGCCCAGGAGATCAGTATGAGGTATGTGTGCATGAGTTTATTGTTTATTAAATAGCAAAAGAATCAAAAGGAAGTCATACTTCTGCTGCTTTTTACATCATGAATTTTCTCAAGAAAATAAGAGGATTTTTGTTTTTTAGATTTTCATGCGTTACGGTCGCCAACGATGGAAACTGAAAGGCAAAATAGAAGTGAATGGCAAGCAAAGCTGGGATGGAGAAGAAATGGTTTTCCTCCCTCTCATTGTTGGACTGATCTCCATTAAGGTATGCATGCTGACTCCTTTGCCTGCAAGCAAGCCAGGAGTCAAGAACCTGCCTTCCCATGCACCATCAGCAAAAACACAGAAGCAGATCATTAAACTCTTTAGAAATGAGCCATAATTAGTATTTCTGACACACCTACCAAGGTGCTGCAGTATTGTCCAGTTTAGATACTACGAGACTAATCAGTTTGTGAGAGCTGTGGGAGAGATTTTCTTCCCAAACTTGGAGTCTTTCTATCACTGTTCCATCTCTTCATTGCCCCCAGCCTCCTAGCACATATTTCTCCTGGCCTGAAGTCCATATGCTTTCTTTCCAGGAAGCCTCCAACCTAGAGATACCCATTCTCTGACCCCTTAGCAGAATTTAGCAGAAATTGCTGCTAAAAACCATTCCAGATATCCCTGGTTAGGTAGCTTAAACTGAAGAATGTCTTGAAAGTCTTAGGGGAAATGGCCCACTTAGACACGGCAAAGCCTTTATGGAAATAATACAGGTGATTACAAAACCCTCAACCAAAATAATCCCAAATGCGTGAGACGGTAGGTTTTCAGTAAAAGGCAAATTGTGACACATGGTGAGTCACTTTCCTCAATCTAACACACACGTTTAAGGTGGAAAGTTAGGAGAGAACCCCTTTTTATAGTACACAAGAATCCCAGTATTATTAAGGTTAATGTGTATATTCTCTTCCCTTTTTGGATTCTGTCCAAACACTTTCACATGAAAGGCCCAAGAACTGACTTTCAAGCAAACAGCCAAAGGCTGGTGTGTGTAGGAGCTGCATATAGAACTGTCACTCTGAATTTCCGGGCAAATGTATCTCTAAATATGAATTGTGCTCTACTCTTACGGTAACAGCATATACGGAGGTGGTTCCTCAACAGTAGATCTGTGGAAGTCCTCACCAAAGGCCATCTTTGGTGCAAACAATAACATGGCTTCAGAGTTACACGAGAGAAATACCTGGAAGAGAGCTCCCTTGGGAATTATTAATTAGACAAATTACATCAGGAAATTCCCAGTTAGGAATTTGTCAACTGCTGACATATATATCATATATCCTCCCTGTTCTCACTCTTCCCTTGGCTCTGGTTATCATTAGTGCAAAAGATCAGATACAAGACTAGACAGCCTGTTGGTCTGAGTCAGTATGGTTGTTCTCTTCTGACTCCTATAAAAACAAAGAAGACATGGAATCATGATCATATGTATTGATTAATTTAATAATTAAAACGATGCATTTCTTAACAAAACCACCACCAAACCCTAGATTTTTTTCCTTAAGTAATGTGACAGTCATATTTTAGAAGCTTTTTAGCAAGGGGGTCAGGCCAGACAATCAAAACTATTATCTTGGCATTAAGGATTGCAATGCCTTGTGTGGTCCTAAATATCCTGTTCTTATCTCCTACAGGTCACAGAAGTTAAAGGGCTTGCTACTCATATCCTTGTGGGAAGTGTAACCTGTGAGACAAAAGATCTGTTTGCAGCTCGGCCTCAGGTGGTTGCAGTAGACATTAATGACCTTGGCACAGTAAAGCTGAACCTTGAGATCACCTGGTAGTAAGTAGAACTCATTGGTCAATCGGTCAGTCAAACAATCAATCTATCAATCAGCTGTAAAACTTCAACCAAGAACAATGGTTCATCCATGTGAGTCGTTCTCGCCATATTTTTCCCTGCCAAGGAATATTGTGAAGGAGCTGTGGCCCAGGTTTGGTCTATGAGAAGCAGTTCCTGGTCAGCCACAGTTTGCCTGCTTTTCCTGTGATAAAGAGGGTTTTGCCTAGTTTCAGCTGTTAAATTAGGTTTGGCAAGTACTGACATTGCAAGGTATGGGAACTGCTTAGTGATGATAGGTCTCAGAATTGCCTAAAGCTTACTTCAAAGCTTAAAAAGAGGATATAACTGAGTGTTCATATATATATATATATATATATATATATTTAATATTTTAAAAAATCAGTGTAAAAATCAGTGCTGGATTTATGGATTTACACTAGCATAGCAAAGTTCAGGAGCTGGCCCGTCTTGAAAAGCTGTCTTTTAAGGGCTTCATACACCACAAAAGTGATGGGAAATCTTGTGGTGTTTTCTATTCACACTGGTCAGCATAGGTGAGCTGGTAGCCTTTGTATACAAACCCAATTCTCACTGCATTTTTATGAAAGAAGTAAATGTAATTTCTGAAGAAGCATTGATGCATTTAACTTTTTGCAATCATGTGTGCTGTTTCTTGTAATGCAATAAACATGAAGCCAGCAAAAACAGCTCCAGGTTTCCTTTATAATGCAACAGCTCTATTAATACTTGAGCACCTTTCTCATTAGTATGTGTGACACTTAGCAACTCAAATCCAAGAATACTTTCCATGTGAGAAGAATAACATCAGACTACACTACATAAATGATTTCTGAGGGAACACTTTTATCAGAACCGAAAACCACACTTCTGAGACTGCTGTCTAATTAACAACATTTTCTTTAAACACTTCAGTTTAAAAACTTGCTACCTCTGGGTTTTGATGTGCTAATAAACCACCCTTTCAAAAATGCATTCTATGGACCTGAAAGTCCCTCTTGCTCAGCCTAACAACCTTTTATTTTCTCCCCTCTTGCTTGTGTATCTGTAGCCCCTTTGATGTTGAAGACTTGACCCCATCCACGGGAAATGTGAGCAAGGTATCTGCTCTCCAGAGGAGAATGTCCATGTACAGCCAAGGCACTCCTGAAACACCAACCTTCAAGGACCACTCATTTTTTGTAAGCTCTGTTTGGCTTCGTGTTTATGTAAGGAAAAACCTTAGAGCAGTTCAAACACTGCAAACATTTCATTGCTTTACGTGTCTAAGCTTTTATTTCCCTGGTTCCAGCAGGTTACCCTTACAAATACTTATAAAGCAAGTACATTCCTAGCTGCTAATCCTAAAAGAAGGTGGCTATGATCCTGGCATCTTTGAAACTATGTGGCCAATTAATGCATACCTATCCTTCCTGCCTGATTGCTGTGATACTTGAATAATCTTTAAAAAATGTGTTTTCATTTTGCAACAGTTGTTAAACAACTATTATAGCACAAGTATTTTTAAGGATCCTGTGATAAAATTTTCCCCTGTACTGAAGATATTCACAGGGTGTTCCTACATTTTGCATGAATTGAATTCTGAATGCTTAATCAGGCCATCTGTACAGAGATTAACTTTACAACTGCTGCATCCCATTGCTGTAATTTAGTACTCTGCTACAAAGCATTCATTTAACTTGCCCTTCCTCACACCCTCTTTGCTTTAACTGTTGAAGAAATGGCTGCATCCCCTGCAAGACAGGCCAAAGTTGACAATCTTAGATGCTCTTCAAGACACTTTCTTTGACAAGCTTCGTCGCAGTCGCTCTTTTAGTGACCTGCCATCGCTCAGGCTAAGCCCAAAAGCAGGGCTAGAGCTATATGTGAGTCCTGGTTTTCGTTTGGTGAAGGATTTTTTCAGTTCCTGTGTGGCATTTCCATTCCCACGCATGCTTCATGTGTTGCTCTCTGTTGTAACTCACTCATTTTGCTGACTGATTAGAGGGCAGGACGTAACTGTGAGCCCATGCGGCTCACATTAAATCAGAATTCCTCTTGATTTCTGCAGAGATAATGATCAGAAGTCAACCATCTGTGGGCAGAGAGCAGAGCAGGAATACAAGCCAACAGTGTTCTTAAAAATCACCTGCTACACCGATTGATGCTGTACATTTGCCTAGTAACATGACTTTCAGAAGCTAAAAGCATACCCATGTCAAGGCAAAGAAGAAATAAACCTTTAACTGTGATTATGTTCAGGGAAAAAAAAAGCTGCTATTAATAAATTAAAAAAAAATTTTGGGCGCTTAAACCTTAAGCTTAACAACATGTTAATGCCTACAGTTCTTTCCAACAAATGGTCAGCAAAATAGTAGTTGCCTTCCATCTGTGCCATGCATTTCCGTGAGCTGGCCACATAACAAAGCAAGGTCTGTAGGTCAGGTAGGCAGATTGTGCACTCCTGTAGTGATTCTTCCCCATACATCAGTCAGAGCTGAACATATATATATGTATGTATCTACCCTGATAAGTCTGGAGTCTGCATAGGCTGGTTTTGCTTCTTAAGTGATCAGTGTCCTGCTCAATACACCACAAATTTTGCTGACTCATTTAGCAGAAACTTATGTTGGACAGGACTCCGGTATAACTCTTGTTCAACAATTGTTACAGACATCCATGCCACATGCAGGACATGGGATAAAAAGAAATAGCACAGTACTATCACCATTTAACCACCATGACACCAGAGAAACTCCTGGAGCAAACTGTATCACATTTTACAGATTGCTACTTTAGAAGTCAGAAAATAAGTAGAACAGAAAACTGTAATGAGTAGGAATATGCAGACAAGGTGGCTTACATACAATCCCATATAAAAGAGCCATGCTACAGGAACTGGAGCAGTCCACTGGAAATGCTGCTTGAGAGAATATAATAGGGTGAGCAGGATTCATGTCTCTCTTCTGAAGAACATTTCCTAGAGCTCTCTATTTAGCAGAGAAATGCTGAGCCCAGGTTTTCCAGCAGATTTCATGCTGAAATTGAGGATCTGTGCCAGACGAAAGCAGAAGTTTGATTTGAAATATTTTTTCCATCTCTCAAGTCTTGAATGCTTCTTTAATCTTTTTCCTTGCCTTTTTCTTTCCTGGATACATGCTGTATATTTTTTTCTCTTTCCAATGCTGCATGAAAAACATTTTCTCCGTATTATCTTTTCAGTCAAATTTGCCAGATGATGTCTTTGAAAATGGGACAGTGGCCACTGAGAAGCGGCCCCTCTCCTTCACTTTTGGTGACCTGCCTTATGAAGACGCTGTGCCCCCTGCCAACTTAGCTGAGTCCTCGTCTGCTTATGTCAGCTCCAGCCCTGACATCACTGCGACCCCCACCCAGCACCAAGCCCTTGAGTCCTCCCAGAGCTCAAGCCTAGACTGTAGCAGCAGCGACTCCCGCAGAGACTCTGTTGCTGAGCCAAAGGACCTGCCATCCCATGGAGAGGGAGCAGTGGCTGAGAGCAAGAACACCCCAAGGGCAGCTCCTGAAGTTTGCCAAAATATCTCCGATGCTGGGAGCAATCGTGTCTTTGTAGAGACGAGCGTCCCGGTGTCTCTCCTGCAGGACACGGATGAAGGTTCAGAACTCAAGCCTGTGGAGCTGGATACCTATGAGGGCAACATCACGAAGCAGCTGGTCAAAAGGCTTACATCAGCAGAGACACCCCTGACCCCAGAGAGGCTGCCGTGTGAGGGATCCATTAGTGGGGAGTCGGAAGGATATAAGTCTTATCTTGATGGAAGCATTGAGGAAGCCTTACAAGGGCTTCTCTTAGTTCTTGAGCCACATAAAGAGCAGTATAAAGAGTTTCAGGACCTGGATCAAGAAGTGATGCATCTAGATGACATCCTAAAAGTGAGTACATTTTCAGAAAATACTACCCTAAAGAAAATCTGAGCAGGTGGAATCTCCTCGCCTGCCTCGCAAACATCAAAGTAGACTTTCTGGAAAGTAGTAGAATTCCCTAGTAGCAGTAGTTTTGCTCCTGCTTGGAGCATCTTTTCACAATGTTGCATTTTTAAACTTTTGTCAGCAATGTGCTTACCATAGCCATGTGTCCTCAAGCAGCAGATCTTTTATCAAAACCTGCGGGAAAGAGAAAAAGTACCATGACAGAAGGGTAATTAAATTGTACCCTTTACTGAACGCTTTGTGAACCACTGTGAATCACCACTTGTGAACACATTGCTTGTGCATACTGGAGATCAAATATAGCCAAACTTCTGCCTTTGAAATCCATGAGTCACATCCTCAGCAGGTATACTTTAGCATACTACCCCTGAACTCTGTGGAGCTGTGCAAAACTACACTAGCTGAGGATCAGGCCTTGTAGCCATAGAAGCTGAATTTTCTGAATTGCCAAAGAGATTTAGAAGCACAAGTATCACTGAAGGTTGCTGTCCCCACGTCACCTAGGTGTGGCCTTTTCCTTTTTCCCTCACCCATTTTCATAGTGAGAGACATCCTGTCATTACATCAAGATGCAGAGAAAAATGTTAAAAATGGGAAGAAAAGGGGTTTGCATGTGTGTTGTTAATATGTTTACTGTGGATCACTGTTACTTGTGTCTCCCCCATGAATAACAACTCATGACATGTTACTCTGCAAACAGTATTATATGGGAAATAATCATTTCAAATGCTTCATATTCATATGCAAGTTGGTCTGCTAGTCATTTAAGCCTCATCATTCAAAAACATGGCTGAGGAGGAAGAAGGGAAGCATTTATTCTTCTGCATTATCTTTTCACAAAGAAACTTTGCTAACCTCCTTATTTCCGTTGGTGTTTACAGCTGCATGGTACTTTCCCAAGTTAAGTGGTTTTTTGCACAGCCTGCAGCCCCTGTTCCTTGCATATTCCTAGAGAGGTTTGAGCAGGCAAATGTACCATTGCTATTATTTTCTAACTTGGTACAAACAGGTCAGCTATCCAAAGGGCAGAGAGACAATGGAGACTGTTAATTTCGGCTGCTTTGATCAGAAGTTTCAAAAAGTCAGACATGGGATGGGGGCAGAGAGGATGGACGTGCAGACAGGATTGCTGCACACTTGAGACGGACACCACTTCCAGATCTGTTGAAGTCTGGATGTGACCTATTGATCAGCTCACAGACTGACACGCAGCATCACCAGCAACCATACAGAAGGGGGCTGCATGGGCTCCTCATGCAGAAAGGTTGAGCTGGAATCCAGCTGTGACTGAAGAAACCTCTCTTGGCCATATTAGATGAGCAGAGAAAATGGTCCACATATTGCTGTTCGTGTTTGCTTGAAGAAGCTGCACTACCAAGCCCTGAAGGAAATGGAAGTCAAAACCATTGGTGCCACACTAGAAGCAGGATACAGCACTCAGCCTTGTCACAGATGCATTGGGAAGTGTGTTTGATCAGCTAATGACTGTACAGGCAGTTCAAGGACTCAAACATCCTAAGTGCAAATGTTTGACCATTAGTATTGTGTGCAAAGGAATTGAAAACAGAACTCCCTTCAGCTCTAGAGCAGCTGGTGCTGAATCTGAACTCCTTGGAGGCCAATGCGTTTTTCTGTGAGCTGAGACAAAGTCATGGCTGCTGCTTGGGACTGGAGGATTTGGCTTGTGTAATGGCACCAGTGGCTCATGTCTGTTTCTGTTCAAATAATCACATTGCATGAAAGATGTTGAAGTCATTGCACCAACCAATGGAGATGATCTCTCAAGTTACATCTCATTCTTCAGGATGACCCTGGAAGCAATTTTGTGGGTACATGAGGATGAATTACCATATGGGATTCACACTTTCATATTTCTTACAGCTACAGCAAGGTTTCCTATGCGTTTCTTCCCTGCAGTGAGGTGGGATGGTTCCCCGCTCTCTCAAGCACTGTTAATTTCTGAGTTACAATACTGCCTTTCGCTGTCACCTAGGAATCTGATGCCTTATTGGCTTTTCCTTGATAATCCATTTGCCTTCAAAAGCCACAAAACTCCTCTCATTCCATTAATAAATGTGCAGCTATGGGACCAAATTCATTCCTGGCTAAGGTCTGTTAGAGTTACATCTGTAATAAATCAGGTAGTGCCACTGGTTATGTATAAATTGGCTTCTGTAGCTAGAACAGCAATTAAGGAATGTGCCTTCCCCTTTCAACTTCCATTGCATTAATTCCCGTCATTCCTTTTGGAAAATGCCAAGAGCTGCGAAACTTGGATTCAAGAACTACTTCTCATTTCTATAAAACACAGTGAATTTTGCCTCTAAGGGTTTTCCTTTGGGGAAGAGAGTGAGTAGGATGAGGAGGGGAGGAGGAATGAAAGGCTTTTCCCAGTTCTCAGGCTTTGATTGTATATGCTATGAATATGAAGGCTTGAAATGAAACACCCAATAAAATGAAGTTTTAAAAATAAAATGAAGAATTTGAAGTTTTAAGCTTTATCTTTTTTTTTTTTCTTATCTTTCTTGTAATAGTTAATATCTGGGGTTTTCATTGGTTCGTTCTGCCTTTGCAGTGCAAGCCAGCAGTAAGCCGAAGCAGGTCCTCAAGTTTAAGTCTAACAGTTGAAAGTGCTTTAGAAAGCTTTGATTTCCTGAACACCTCTGACTTTGATGATGAGGATGGTGGTGGTGTGGAGGTTTGTAATGGTGGAGGAGGTGCAGACTCGGTATTTTCAGATACTGAGATTGAGAAGAATAGGTAAGTTTGTAGTACCTGCCAGCTGTGCTTACGCCAAACTGACACCCTGGCTCTTTGTCGCTAACAGGGGATCCTGGTGCACAATTTATTCAAGGAAGACTGACTAATCCTTGATGAGTTTTAGGGTCAGAAGGCTCCCCATGGCTGCTGCACACAAAATCTTTAGTTTCCAGGACCATTTTTTTCCCCCTGTTCAAATATATGCAATCTGTCCTCCAAAGGAGAAGGGTAAATTAAATTAAGCTGACATCAATACTGGCAGAGCCTCTTCCTTGACATAGGTTTGGACCTGGCTTTCCTTGGATGTAATTACTAATTCCTCTGTGGTTTTTCCCCCCCTCCCTTTGTCTTTTCTCTCTAGCCGAATGAGTCTTTGCAGTGGATTAAGCTTGTCAGTAACAATAACACAGGGCCAGATTTAAGCAGCATGATGTAGGTTGCCTTTGGAATGTAAGAGTGATGACTGGTACTCTGTTCATGGCCCTGCGTGTTACCTGCCCTTCTTTCATCACTTTTAGTCTTTCTGAGAGAAAAAAAAAAGAAAAAAAAAAAAAAAAGAAAAAAAAACGAAAAACAACTGTGGTGTTGTGCTGTGGCCTGCCATTGTTGTGTGACTTTAAGATGCTGTGCTTCAATCATTAGATCTTAAAAGCATGTTTGCATCCTTTGAGCTGATACGATGCCCAGCAGGCACGTAAGCGGCACTAGAGCTGGAATAAAAGAAAGGAACACGGTTCCCTCCCTGCCTGTGCTTTCCAACCAGGGAGCTATACTACTCACAGCTTGCTTAAAGCAATTTGTGTGCAACAAGCAACAACCATGCAGTTCCCATCATCTCCTGTCCTCATTCCAGAATAGGACTTGGTGGGAAAAATAAATTGGGAAATTGTGTTGCTTGTTAAACTTGCACTCTGACCTCAGTCCGGTCTGTGCTGATTTAAGAATCGAGCCTCAACCAGTTAAAATAGAAATTAAAATTTCTCTTTCCCCCCTCTGGCTCATCCCCAGACAGTGCAGATTCCTGCTTCCATTTTTAGATGTGCAAGTGTGTGACTCAGTGTAAAGATTGCAAGTGTTGAAACTTCTGAACTTGCAGCCAAACACACTTGCCATATGGGGACTGACCTCAGGCTTTGCATTTAAACACAGGGAGGATCATTGGTACAGCAAGACAATATTGGAAATAATGATTTGAAACACAGTAAGACTAGCTCTACTCTCTTGCAGAAACAATTGGTGAAGTAAGCTGTACACATTGTGTCCAGAACTACATATGAAAACATTGTGTCTTTTATTTCAGCAGTGGTTTTCCTTTCCTTCTGCAATGACCCTTAAATTTGGCAGCAGGAGGACCCCGAAAGCACAGAGCTGTTCTTAGCAGTTCAGTGTTTGGGAAAGTACAAATTGTCATGGTGCTTAATCCAGAGCGACTGGGCAGGTGATTCATCACAGATGGGAGAAAGCTGTCACCACTGCGGGACAGTAACCATGGGTTAACAAAGCTTGCTGTTGAGGGCATCACATCACTCAAGGCAAGCCAGTCAGGGCTGTCCCCTAGATGGGTACATCCCTTCTGTACCCAGCCAGGGCAGCCCTGCTCCTTTGTGATGTGATGTGCTCATCACCGGCTTTCTGTGTGCTTTCAGCTCTTCTGCCGTGCTCTTCGCTCATCACCTTGTGTGCGAGTGTGGGTGTGTGTGTGTGTGTCTATCTGCTGTGGCAGCTGCCGGCCCTGCACTGACCTCCTCCTCCCTCCCTCCTCCCCAGTTACAGGACGGAGCACCCAGAAGCCAGAGGCCACCTGAGCGAAGCTCTCACCGAGGACACGGGTGTGGGCACCAGCGTGGCTGGCAGCCCTCTGCCCCTGACTACAGGCAACGACAGCCTCGATATAACCATAGTTAAGCACTTGCAGTATTGCACCCAGCTCATTCAGGTACCAGGCGCACCTCGTTTGGGGCATTTATTTTAAAATCATTCCTGCCTGCAGCATGGGTACAAGCAGGCTGGCAAGGTCAGCACTGCTCCTGTGAGGCAGTGGGAGCACAGGGCTGGGACAGACAGCCTCACCCCAGCTACGAGTGCCTCCATCCTTTCCATCCTGACCCTTTTCAGAGCAGACCTGACGTGTGAATTATGGGGCACTTGGCAGGAGCTGCCCAGGAGGGCTGAGGGGCAGGGCACTGGGGGACAGGGGCATCCCCTGCTCTGGGTTACAAACTCCTGCTGGCTTTGCTGGGGGGTCCTCAGTGGAGTGGGTTCCCAGTTAAAGCAGCCCACGTCTTCAGAGGTAGAGCAGGAACCCTGTCTCCACTTTTTAACTGAGCCCCAGATGAGCCTGCAGCGTTCAAGAGCAGGGATGAATTTTTGCACATGAGGCAGAGAGATTCTGTCTGCAACAGGCACAGTGAAGGCAGCAGGAGACAGCCCCCCTGGGACATCAAAATTGTCAGTTCAAGCTCACAACTAGAGGTTTTTTTCTGTGGGGTTTTTTTTTTCAGAGCCCGTGCACAGCAAATGCAAATTTAAACATCAGTAAGTGAGGTCATCAGGGTTTTCCTGAAAAATCAAAACATGCTGCAACTTCCTCTTCACAATCATTTTACTCTTCCATCTTAGATATAATTAGCTTTATTTTCCCAAAGGATCATTGAAGCAATAGAGCGCGAGCCTGATTCCATCACCCTTAGTGCTGAGCTGGAAACTCTGCTGACTCACAGCCATGAGAAAAAGGGACTTTTTTTGGTTTCAGTACAAGAGTACACAGTAAATATGCAGCTGAGTGAGGTGAACTTGAACCACATTGACACACAGAGCAGATTTGATATGAACATTATTTACATAGACTGCTGAAGAAATGCAGATAGCAGCAGTAGGGAGTATTAGCAAGGATTAATTAATTAATAAAATTAATAAAGGTACCTAAGTAATTGATCAAAGCTGAAATGAAGTGAAGAAAGAGCAACAGGGTTGTTCTCCATGCAAGGTTGTTCTGAAAGTCTACAGCCTAAGTTGTGTGAAAGTCAGACTAATATTCTTGCCTGGTTTTAAGTCCTGTGGTGATGGGTTTCTTTAGCTTTGTGGTGTGTGTAAATCAGAAATTACTTATGCAAATGAATACTCAGGTGTCTGGATCTGGATTTAGATATTGAACGTACAAGCAGTGATGCATATCAACTAGGACCAAAAAAATATCCCAAAGACAAGAAATTTAAGTTAAGGAAGTCCTGTGGTTCCAGGCAATGAATTTGTCATTGCACTTCAGGTGTTTCTGAATTTTTTTTTTTTTTCTGAGGCTGGGTTTCTTTTTGGTTCAATGACTCCCTTTTGTCTCTTCTCATTTGTCTTCACCAGCAAATTGTGTTCTCCAGTAAAACACCATTTGTGACAAGAGACCTCCTGGATAAGCTGTCCCAGCAGATCCTTGTGATGGAGAATATTGCGGAGATCAGCACTGAGAACTTGGGAAACATCACCTCTCTTACTGATGGTAAGAAACAGCTTAGAGGTTTTCCTTCTGACAAAGATTTGCCTGGGCATGTGTGTCTGCTGAAATAATCACCATGCAGATCTCACCAGTAGTGCAGGAGGTGCCACTCTAATAAAGGCTGGCTCAGGGTCACCGGGAGGTGCAGCACTCACCACAGCCAGGCAGGTGTCACCTGCATCTGACCTGAGCTCTTTTATCCAGAGATATGCAAGTGAGAAGAGAAAGGACTTCTTACCCAGCTTGATGTGCAGAAGATGGACAGATGTCATTGGTGTTATGGGATGGGGATACTTCCACCTCTGAGGACTCAAGTTATTCTTCCTCCTTTCTTTCCTGAGGAAAGGCAAGATTTGCATTACAATATCAGAGGCATACTACAACTTCTTGAACATTTTCAATTTTAGTCATCTCTCTGGAGAACTTCTTAGTTATTTTCCTTTTTGCATCTGTTTTAATACTTGGAACATAAAACACATAGTTACCCTCATGTACACTCTGGCAGGAGAGGTAAATACTATAAGGTGTATTTACTATATCAGAAAATTGAGGCAAAAATGGAGTGACTTACTTGAAGCCATAGAGCAGTACTAGGACAGGGACCAAACTTATGTAGATAATTTGTGGTGTTCCCCTAGTATTTTTTGCTATTTAAAAAGAATAGAATCAATGCCAAGAACTGGATCAGGAGCTAATTTTCTCACTTTACCATGGGAAACAGAAAAAACAGAAAGATGTTACAAACCTGGGGTGAGCACATGATCATGCTCTGTGGAGGTAATGGCTCAGGGAAACCCAACAAACAGTCACTGCTTATCAGTGGGATAAGGTGAGATTTCCTCCATTCTTACCTTCTTATCTCAAAGTTGATGTTTCCAACAAGGCTTTGTTTCATCATTCATTTTGCCCTCCCCAGCAATTCCAGAGTTCCACAAGAAGCTGTCACTGCTGGCTTTCTGGATGAAGTGTACTGGCCCTTCAGGAGTGTATCACACTTCTGCTGACAAGATGATGAAGCAGTTGGATATCAATTTTGCCACCACTGTGAATGAAGAGTGTCCAGGACTTGCAGAAACAGGTACAAAAAAAAAATGTGTCACCATCAAAATGGAGAAAAACTCTGTAATGAGCTTTGTTTTCCAACCCCTCAGAGATCTGTTTGGCCACAGTTCCAAGACCTCATTTGAAAACTAATGCTACAGCTCTTGTAAAAGGTTTGGCCCCAAATAATGGAAAAAAAAAAAAAAGGAAAAAAAAAAAGGTGAGGTTAACAGTAAAGAAAATACTGCTTTAAGGTTTATGAGTTAACCAGAAAGTCTATTCCCAAATGCAGATTTGTGATTCAATGAATCAGGAATCCTTGCACTTAATTTTGTGTGTCTATATAACACCCACACCCCTTAACAGTGCAGAGGGATGAAATTAATCCACATTCAAGTGAGTTTATCTGAGCACAGGTTCTTATCTTGTGTGGGATGTACCACACCTCAAACTCCAGCTACACTGACTAGCTCTCCCTAGGACAGAATGGGGATGGAGGCTGATCTTCCCAGGTGTGGCCATGTGCACTGTGGATGCCTACACAGGGCAGTGTTCTCCTTCCTGCTCCATGCTCTCACAGACAGTGCCTCAGACTGGCTTTCTGCATGCCACACTTAGTGCAGGAACATAAAAAATAGCAAAGCCAAATCCTGCCTCTGTGCACATTTCCCCTGCCTCAGTGGCACTGTGGGGATGTAACAGGCAGTGCATGTGGAGAGGGATTTATGATTCAGGATATTGTTTAGGTAGAAATGATGCTGTACTGATTGCACAGCCATCTGTAAACTGGCAGAGGCTCATCCTTACAAAGATATTCCCTGGTAATGAGACCCAGACAGGGAGAAGGCCTGTCCAGCTTCTAACCTAACCAGAGCTGAGTTTAGGAACATTGGGAAGTACCTGGCCTTGCAGATGCATTTCTTTCTTTCTTTCTGGTTTTGAAGTGTACTGCATAATTTTTCCAGTAGCTTTTGCTCTCACTAACCTGTCCCTTTTCCATGCCTGCCTGCAGTCTTCAGGATCCTGGTGTCTCAGATCCTGGACCGGACGGAGCCGGTCCTCTACTCCACCATGTCCTCCGAGACCATTACTGTCTTTCAGTATCACAACTACTTTGCCAGCCACAGTGTCAATGACCTCGGAAGCTATTTGCTACAGCTCGCAAAAGAAGGTAGGGTATGTAAATTCTGCTGGCTGGTTAGGGAGTACATCCCTGTCCTTCTGAGCTCAACACAAAGAATTTCAGCCCTGAGGCTGATTTTACAAAAGGAGGAGAGAAAAGAGACAAAGAAGTGTCCTGGCTATTAAGTGAACGCACCTGAACTGTTGCACATGACAGGGGAAAAGAGCTGATGCAGATAGACCCTCAGTTATTTCTATTTCCATATTCAAATGAGAAAAAACTGTTTTGAAAGCACTGTTTTGTAGGAGAGTGCTGATGGTGGTGGGCTGAGCCCAAGGCCTGGGAAGTTTTCTGTGCCCACATCTTGGATGATGTCTTGGTCTTTCACCATCTGTTACGGAGACACCTGAAGTACTGAGCAATTCTCAGGAACCAAGGGATCACAGCACCTCAGAGTTTTGCAGGCTCTGCCACCAAGAGCTGGAAAGAAGCAGATGCTGCACAAAGTGTGCTGGACTGCAATCCCTGGCAAGCCAAATTTTCTTCTCTATTTGAGAGGGATTTTGAGGAACCTTGCCTAATTTTCCTTTTTATTTGGGCATACTAGGGAGCTTTTGCTCAAAAGCCTGGAAGCAAAACGGCATTTCAAATCGCCTCTGAAACATATTAGCCCTAGCTCTTGTCGGCAGACATCAATCTATCCAGGAAAAGCTCTCACAAAGATGCTCTGGAAGTCAATACACTGGCAACAATATTTGGTTTCAATTGTTAGAGTGAGAATTTACATCTTCCAGCAGAAAGCAGAGATTTGACAGGTAGGCCTAAGTGCTGCACTATCCCAAGGCCCGTCTACTCATCTCCTCACTTGAAGGAGGTCTGAGAAACTGACCCAGCTTAAAGCCCAGACAATTCCCCATGCAGACACACTGCCATGATGCTCAGATGGGGATATTTTCATATCCTCAGTGTGTGTAGTATAAATCAAGGATTGCTAGCAAGGAAAGGATCAATCCAAAATACCAAGAGGATAAAGTAAGTAACACAGACCTTTTTCTTGAACTTCTAGCATCGGTGGTTCAGGTGCTGCAGTCTGTGAAAGACGGAAAACTGCAGCAAAATGTGTCCAAAATAAACTCCAATAACCTTCCACCACAGCAGGAAGTTTTAAGAGCTTTGGCTTTACTTCTCAATGAAAATAAAAATGAAGTCAGTGAGACTGTGGCATCACTTCTGACAGCAACTGCAGAAAACAGGCACTTCAGGGAGAAGGTAAGTGGCAGAAAATCACTTGTTGCACAAGAGACCTGTGTCACCATGACTTTTTTTCTACCTGTATGTCTCAAATATCTGTGCATATAAAATAACTGATCCAAGCCTGATTTAAACTGATACAGAGGGATATCCTGTCTAATTTTTCTGCACATGTGCAGGTCTGTTTCTGTCTTTATCCCAGTCTGCTTCTACCTGTTATTATGCTAAATAGGTACTAACCAAAACCGCAAATACTTACTGAGTGCCGTGCTCTCCAGCTATTTTCCACACTTCAGCATTTCTGCTGCCCTGTCTCTGACTTGGCTTCAGTCCAAGGCTTCAAGGTAACAGTCCCCAGCATTGCCAACACGCAAAGACAGGTCTCAGATTTTTGTTTTTTTTCCAAAGGAGCCTGCCATCTATGAGACTTCCTACCATTTCCAGAAGGGATGGACTGCCTTGGGCAAACACAGCTCAGCTGTGAGAACTAATATTTGAGTCTATCTCTGATACCAAAAGCAACAACCAGGGCCAGGTTAAACATAGAAATTAAATAGAGGGGAGAAGGAAGAGTAAGAAGAAATTAGGGCTCCTACCCTTTCATGGCAGACCTTTCCCTACTATGCTTTGTGCTCTCTGTCAGGAAAGAGCAAAAGAAAAGGCAGCTGGAAGAGGAAGAGTGGCAGAAGGAAGGCAAAGGGAAGAGAAAAAGGAGCTCAGTCTTTGCTTCTCTTGTCTATGAGTCCAGTCCCCTCTTTGCTTGCCCTTCCACTTCATCTTCCGTTTTTGCAGCCTCTTGGTATTTCATGCAGTCCTTCTCCATCCCCAGTGTCCTGGAGGCAGCATCTCGGGGAAAATACAACCTTCTCCTGGAACAGGCATGCGTAGCTGATACCTGGTCCACTGCCTGCAGGAAGAATCACAGAGTGGCTTCTGTGAGCGTATTGTGCAGCCTTATGCTGCAGATGAATTCACTGTACAGCTGAGTGCTGCTGAGATTTGCTACTCAGTAGTAGCTACTAATTTCTAGGGTCAAGCAGTAGACTGGTCTAGCAGCTCAAGCTAACACTGTAATCATTATTTTAAGTCTCCCTGGGGGCTATACAAACTAGTTCATTATTATCCCTACATAAAAGAGACTGTCTCAAGGGCCACCTCCTGAGATATTTAGACTCCAAGGCTCATTCAAAGCTCTTTGGTGATGTATGGTGAAAGGCCTTCAAAGGTGCCAGATTGTGCATCTTACTTTAATGTGAACTTTTCCTCACCAAAAGCTGGCCTGAGACTGCTGACCTATGACCAGTGGTCTGTCCTGGATCTGCTGTAGGGAATTATCCCACCCTGTACCATCCCACATGCTCATTGTCAGGGAGGCAGGCTGCAATTGCTCTCCCTTTAACAGGGTAACAATACCTCCATGTTCCACACTTCTCCACAGACATTTTCATTGCTATTCTTCTTTATCTGTTTTCAGGCCTTGATTTATTACTGTGAAGCACTAACCCAGCCCAACCTCCAGCTGCAGAAAGCAGCTTGCTTGGCTCTAAGATACCTCAAGGTAAGAGACAAGGAATACATTGGGGTGCTTGGCTTTGCTTTATAGAAAGGACATCTGATAGGTACAAACAACAAAATAGAAATTATAACAGCAGCAGTAGTGTTTTTGGTTTGTGTTGCTGTGCTCCATTCTTTTTTCAGATAAAGGGAATGGTTTAGAACCTTCTAAACCACAAACTGTGACCTTGGCAAAGTTTTATCTTTTGCATATCATCTTTTCCTCCCTCTCATATGGACTTCAGGAGACTCAGTTCCACATCACAGAGAAAAAAAAATGTTTATTCATAAAGTACTGACTGAGAAGGATAAAAAAATGTTTTCCCAGGATAAAATTAGCTCTAATGCATGTGGGCTGCAGTAGCAGAAAAGAGAGATCACATCTTGTTTTGTGATAAATAACTGGTACATCTGGGCACTACAGCCTCAGCTAGCATCTGGTACCACCTTTGCACTCTAGCCTTTGACAGGATGGGAAAATGCACTTGTTATAGTTGTATAGAGCCACAGGAGACACCAGCCATCCAAGCCTGGCTGGTATGGGACACTGGGGCAAAAACTGTGTTCCATGAGACAGATGCACTTTGGACTGACTATTTCTGCCTCTAATCTGTCCCCTGGAAGGCAGCTCTAAACTGTAACTTCATCCCAGTCACAACTGACACCATCCAGTGCCTAATCCAGTATTGTTGAAATATAAAAAAAATATTTCCCTTAAATGAGAAGCTAGCAGGCATCCCTGGGAGGCAATGGTGAGGGACATTACATCTCTGCTGCATACAGGGTGCAGTGGGGTTTTTGATTGCTCAGGAAAACTCAGGCTAGGAACCAGTGGTGGGAACTGGAGCTGGACAAGTTTAACTTGAGCAATGTGATTCCAGTGAGTCCTGAATACTGAGAATAGCTGGGGAAAAAAGCTACTGTGGGAAAGTATCATCATTTGGGATCTTCAAAGAAAAAGCTGAAGCTGGAAGTTACTACTTCAGAGATGGAAATGCTACACTGGATAGGCGGCTGTGGATGGGGTAACCCAAGGGCAGTTTAATCCACATCACTGCACAAAGTCCCACTGAATCTCTGAGGGGTTTCTCAGATTGCAGTAAGCTCTGTATTGCTGTGGCCCCATCACTCCCAAGCATTGGAGCTGTAGTCACCAGTACACACCCAGTGCAGCCTTACCCCGAGTAAAACAAAAGTGACCACACTGAAGACAATGGCTTTGGTAGCAAAGCTCTTGTTCAGAGCATGTAGACCAGACCTTGTGCCCCCTGGACTGACAGAGCTCATACAAATACTGACTCTGTGGCTCAGTGCCTCTCCAAGTGTCACACTGGGGCAGCACCTGCCCTTCCTTTCACTCTTGTAGTATAAAATAGCCAGCCAGAGACACTATGACAGCTGCTCCCCTCAAAGACCTGACATTTTTGTATCACAGAACAGGATTATTCCTTGCTTTCTTCTCAAAAATAGCAGAGACAAGGCAAAAGTCTGCAAATATTGAACACAGGCTTGACATGCTTTATAGGAAACCCATTCACTAGACCACTGTCTCCTGTTCCTTTCCCTGCTGTACCCTTACCTTGGCATTTTATGGCCTTGGTCCACAGCCCATCACCTATCCTACAGTCAGAAGTGGCAGACATAGCTGGTCTGCCAGATTTGGGTATGTAGTGCATAGGGTAGGAAAATTAGAAAGCGTTTGCACCAGCAGCAGAAAATATACCTCATCCAAATGCTTCCCCTCAGGGAAACCCCATTCCTTCTGTCTCCACCAAAGCCCTTTGCTTGGAGAGGGCAGTGCAGAGGATGGTTACTATTTCCATGCAAGGTTGTGGGAAAACCCCAGAGTGCACTGTGTGGTGCTAATGCAGTTCTTTTTGCACTTCCCAGGCTACTGAGAGCATTAAAATGCTGGTCACGCTCTGCCAGTCTGACAATGAAGAGATCAGAAAAGTGGCATCCGAAACCCTACTCTCCCTTGGTGAGTTGCCTCAGTTTAGAGCAGTATTTAATTTTATTTTTTGACAGAGCAGCATGTACAACACCTGACTTACGTAAATGTGAGACTGTAAATTGAAACAAAACTTTCCAGAGTGACTTAAACGAGTTAGAAAATACAAATTCTTAAAAATAATTAATTTTGAAAATGAGCCAAAAAGAGAGAAATTGAATTGTATGAGTCTGGAGGGGGAAGTAGTAAAAGGAAGGACAGCAAAGGAGAAATTGAGAAACAGAAATAATTGATAATTAATCTGCACAGTTTACAGGCATTGGTACTTCACTGACACAAAAAAAATTGTGTTTTTCTGGCCTTTTGGCTGGTATAAATTTCTGCTCCGTGCAGGAGGTGTCCTTGGGTGATTTTAATTATGCAAACCCTTCAAATATGCTCTCTTCCATTCACCACTTCAGCAGGAATTCAGTCTGCTGTTGGACATGTTATTGCTGAGGTTATAAAACAACTAGCCTAGGTGTACTTTTGAAAACCCTGATTGATCTGTCATTGTTCTAGACAACATACAGAGCCCGTTTTTGGTTCCTTATGGCCAGTTCAACCCATTAGGCTCCATGCTGTCTTCATATAGATGATATAGAAAGTGCATATAGATGGCAGTAGCTAAGGAAAAAGGGTTTGAAAGACACAATTATATTTAGCAAACATACTGCTTTGTCTTTTTCAGCAGTATAGAAACAATGATGTGGATAGACTCACTTTTTTAAAGTGCCAGGAAATGGGAGGTGGATAAATTTTATGTTTTCCAAGGTTGGAGTGGATAAACTTCATTTACCTCAAGTACATCACAACAGCAGCTGAGACCTTGACAAGCACAATAGCTCATTCAGTACAAGTGTGCAGATACTGTCACCTAATCATACAAGCCACATCTGCTTCTGATTTGCTTTAGATAACCAAGCAAGTTACATAGGAAAATTAAAAAAAATAATAATTTGAACATTCAGAGCGTGTTTAACTTTTCCAAATAATTTCTGAAATTGCTTCTAACAAGATAAATTTTAAGAAGAGGGAGAAGTTACTGGCCAATCAGTACTTTCTAACAGCAGAGAATACAGTATTTTAAATGTTCTAGAGCAATGACATAGTACATTTTTATGCTTTATCATTTTGCATTCAGGTGAAGATGGGAGACTGGCATATGAACAGCTGGACAAATTTCCCCGGGAATTTGTTAAAGTTGGAAGCCGCCGTGGAACTGAAGCTGCCACAGCTTTTTAGATGGAAAAGAACCTGCTAATATTTAACAGGCATTAAAGTAGGATGGAGCTGCACTTCAGTGTGGGGAACAGAAGGAAGACTTTAAAGAATTCTATGAGAATGTTCCAAAATGTAGCAATTTACAGACTTCTTAAAGAAAAGCAAAATCTATAATCCAGCTTAAGGGTTCCTATTGGCTCCTTGCTGCAGCTCATGATGGAACAGTTGGATGCTGAGGAACAATACTTTCTTGACTGGTTCTAAACAAATAATGTAATTGCAGTTATTCAGCCTCAACAGACTTCTGTGAGGTTTTTAGAATTTGGCATCTCCATATATTTTCCTATTATATATACTTCCTTGAAGTTGTCGTGAAAGCTTGAGATGTGTGATACCGTATCTAACAAGGACAATCAGGAGGCCACCTGAGCAGGCATGCAAAGTTTTCCCATGAATCCCAAATGAAGTGTCTGCTGCCATGCAGTGTCCCCAGCAACACTCCAGCGGCAGGAAACGCTGTTCAGCTTTCTCAGTGGTGTCTCAGTAATGAAAGTTCTACAAGTTTTGCCTCCAGAAACAGCGTGATGCAAGCCCTGGGAGGCGTCACTTTGGTGACTCATTCTAAATGCCTCCACTGGGCTTTTATTCCCTTCTCTTGCCCTCCAGCAACAAACCATAATTAATCCAGCAATTTGTGAGGGGGATCAAACAATCATGTAGGTTTCTGAAAACCAAATGAAAAGGTAAAGTGCATTTATTTATTCTGAGAAGAAGGAGTGAATATCGCTAATTGCACAAGTCCCCAAAACCATTTTGTTCTGCAAGTTGCAGGCAGGATTGGATTTCATACATTCTAATTAGTGGAGCACAGTTTCTATAGAATTATTTCAATATAAAGAACAGAACAAACTCAAGTGGACCTCGGAGGCAATAATAAACAGAGGGGGAAGTGAATGCACCTCCCCTCCCTGCCCTGCAAGGTTGAAAGACAGCGAGTGCTCCAAACTGTTGATTACAAGCCTTAAGTTAACAGAGGAGGTGAATAGAATTTAACAGAAGAGTGTTCCTGTGCTGTGTTCATTATGCATGAAATGCTATTTAGATGTCAATTGAAGTATCCAAATTTGCATAGATGACATAGAAAATACTGCAAACAGTTCACATCAAAAGGAAACCTTGTGAGCCAAACACTTTGGCAGGCAGGGGTCATTTGTTTTGGTTTTTTTACTGTGAATGTTACAAGAATGTACATATCTGTATATTTATAAATATATATATTCTTCCTTTAATTAAAGAAGTACATTTTGTACAGTGCAAAATGCTTACTTGTTTACTGAGGGATATAAACACTTTTGCAGAAGGTGAACTAGCCATGTTATGGTTTTTATACTACACCTGTCCCATCAGTTGAATTCTTTCAAGGTGTCCTTTTGTATCTACTTTTTTTTTCTTTTAGTTTTGTGGCATTTGTACTCACCATATTTCCTATCACATTTAAGTTATAATAAAGATTATTTTTTAATTACTAAGCACATCAGTCCATATGTATAGTCACTCTTTCCATCAGCAGCCTCTTCACTATCAGGCTTATAGTTAAGTTCAGAGCAAGCCAGTTTTGTGTATCATTCAAGATACTTATCAAGAAAGGCTCCACAGGAAGTACCAGAAAATGTGCTGGAGAGGCTCCAGGATTGTTACCAAACTTGCACTGATTACTCCTCCCTTCTGTGAAGACAGAAGACGTTTCTTCCATTCATTTTCCCTTTTCAAACATTCAGACTTACAGCTCACATATACAGGTACTGGCATCAAATGGAGGGTGTATCTCATCTCGTCTCATTGTAGTTTAAGGCCACCCTTTGAGAACTTTGGTAGCCTAAAGCTGTCCTGCTACACCATTACAACCATTAAAAATCATGCATACAGTTCAAAAGAACCAGATAGGAAAGAGCAAATTGTGCTCTGAATGAAGTAATTGAGAAAATGCACAGGAATTTTAGTATGAACAGTTCCATCAAACTTAGTTCCTGTTGTGGTATCTGAGACTGACAAGCTTGAACCTGGGATACAGATGTATAGAGGCTAAGCTTCACCTGGAGCATTAATACTGTTTTAGAAAACTAAATACACAAATAACCATCTTCTAACAGGATTCATGACAACCTTGGCAAAGTGAACAGACCTTAAAGCTTCCAAAACCTGAAGGCAAATAAAAATGACCAAGCCATTCATTTGTCTCATAGCTTGTACATTTTTATGCTTGCAGAGCTGACGCTACCTTTTCCTGGCATGTTAATGCATTTCTTTGTGGAGTAGGAAAAACCAGATGCACAGAGGCGAGAGGGTGAGAGCAGCACAAGGCTCATGCTTACTGACTACTGAAGAAGGAAGCAGCAGGCAGTAATTAGAAAAGCTCTTAGGGCTGCAGCAGGCTTGCTTGGACAAATTTAAAGGTCAGGGCCAGCCCAGGAAAGTGTGTTAGGAAAGTTCCATACCAAAGTAGCTCAGCAGCAGTGCAGATGGAAGAGATGGGCAGCTTGCCAGGAGCACACTTGGCAAGGGGCTTTATCTGCTGGTGAAGGTATCCTTACCTCATGCTGTGGTTTTTACTACCCCTGTCATGCTGCCACTGTCTCAGCATTTGGCCCCATAAACAGAAACCTGTAGCACCCCTACACTACTGTAGCTACAGCAGCAGCATGTTAGGCTACCCAGTTTCACACTGCTACTGGTAAGGCTGTTGTATCCAGCAGAACTTCAGAAAAATTATCCTCTATAGCTTCGCCCTATCCTGTGTCTGTGATACAGAGAGGAATGTGGACTTCAAAATCAGGAGTCAATACAACTGCCGGATACTGTATCTTAAGTACAGCTCCCTGCTTTGCAGTGGGACTGGCCTGAGGTGAGGATCCACAGCACCCAGCTTCAAATGGCTGCAGCGCCACTGGGGGCAGGATAGATGTGTCCTTACAATGATCACATTTCATTAGAGGCAGCAGTTCAACAAACAGCAGCAAATTAAGGATCCTCATAACACTGTTATCGGTTGCTGAACTGCTTTGTGCTATTACAAGAATGGAAAGATTGATGAATAACACAATAAACATTTCCTACTGAGAAAAAAAACCATTGATGCCAATGCAATTCAGTCTTAAGAACACTGGCGTGCTGGAAAAGTACAGCCTTGGCAAAGTTTGCACATCTTATTAAGTTCTCAAATCCAGCTCTGAAAACAACCTGAGATGGCCCTTGAGGAAAAGTAAATGAATATGCATCACACATTCTTAAGAAAATTAACCTAACTTTATTACTTATGCAGAGACTGCAGCATAAGCTGCAATACAGGACTATGCTGCAAGTCCTCACGTAAGCAATCCAGTGCCAAAAACCCGAGTTTCAGCTGCCCAAACAAGTAGCTACTATCATCTAATTAATTTCACCACACATTTTCTTAAGTACAATGGCTGTTTAGCAAAAATAATGATGTTTAGCATAAACCAGTTACGAGTTCTTCCTCACACAAACAATGCACCTGCCCCATGGTTTGCTTGTCCCTGCGCAGCTGCTCATTCTTGAAACATCTGACACCTGCAAATGCCCCACCTCCCCACACTTTACTCTTGGCTGCAATTCAGCCCTGTTCAGACACGCACATTATATGTGAGAAGTGCTAGGACACTGTAGAGACATCCCACTTCCACACAGCCTGGGCTTGCTTCAGTCAAAGACAAGATTGTGTCTCAGCTCTCTGCAGTGAAAAGGAATCAACATACTGGTAGCACAAACGCATTTGACTTCTTGGAAAGAATCCCATTCTGAAGTTAGGTTCCAGAACTGATAGTTTTAGTGTGCTAGATACAATGTCCTCTCCAATTCAGCTGGATATGAAGGCTGTCTTTAGCGATGTTGATTTTCAGCTGCTATATAGCTATGTTCCAGTGATAAGCGAGTTTTCCCTATACTTAAAATGTCAGATGGCTGTAAGATAACTAATCACAAATATCTGTGTAATTTCTACACCTTTGGCAAGCTATTAGCACAAAAATACAAAGTTCTTAGGCTTACTATGTAGCACAGTACTACTGCATGCATGTTCCAAAAAGCACTCGGGAATTTTCAGAACAATAAACAAACTCAATCCGTTTAAAACATTTTTAAACAGCAATTATTGCAGCCTCCTAAAACTGCTAAGAACATTTCCATATATTAATGTCTGAGAAAATAGGTATAGTCAGTGTTGGATCAAGGTTCATGTGACTAAGCTTGTATATAGGTTTTATTACTATGGCACAGTTTGGCTCTCACACCTGGCCTTCTCCTGCATCAGTTTTGTTTTTCAGTTTATACAGCAAACTATCCTCTCCGCCAACAAACTGTACTTAATAAAACCATAGTAGCCTTGGTTTAAAATATTAGTATGTATTACTGAGTGGCACATCCATTTTTGATATAATTTTTTTTCTGTTACAGGTGGGCCAAATGCTGCAATACATCCATCAGTCTATTTGCAGAACTTCCATGATTTTATTTGTACGGTCTATTTCAACAGAAAGATCCAGGATATCAAGGGACTGTCAAATCTTTTATTTAAATAAACTCAATCCAGAAAAAGCATAAGATTTAAACACAATAAGCATTCCTCTTGATTGACCTGAAGATAAGAAACACAGATGCAGATACTGCACACAAATTTTGGTTTAGTCTCCTTCTGGCAGGTCTGTTCCAACAACAGCACCTGTACTACAGGAGTTCACAGAGCAAGAAGTGAAATAGTGGAAAAGTTGCACTCGCTGCCTCATTTTGGTCTGCTAGTTACAGCACAGTCCTTTCTTCCCTTCCACAGCCTCTGCAAATGCAATATGCCTGATGTTTAAAAAATAAAGCCACCGCTAAAAAAATTAGAGTTAACAATGAATAACTAAATTGAACTGCAAAAACCGATTATATCAGAATTAAACTTATGTTTCCTTATTTACTAATGTTAAACTACTTTGTTAAGAAAGTTGCTTAGAATCTGAGGTATAAGTCACTTAACAAGCATTATCCACTTCTCCTTAACAGAAAAATTAGTTTGCTCTACAAAGCATTTGCTCAGCACCCAGATTTTGTTTTTCCTTCAAGACAGCACCAGTTCGAGATAAAGGACACACCTTTGTCACCTTTTCAGCTGTGTGATGGAAAGGAGTATGTCTAAGCACCCTCTGGAGCACACATTGGAAGATGCAATCTTGTGTTTACAAAGTTCACAAAAAACTGTGATGCCTCATTTTCTAGCTAACATGCTGTGCTGGTTTTACCAGGTAAAGGTATTTTTTGAGGTATTGCCTGCTGCAATGGTTTCTGCATTTCCTGGATGTCACAATTTAAATCTGTTGTAAAACATCTCTTAACTTATCAACAGCCACAGCAAGTGAAACAGAAGGAATATAAAGGTGCCAATCTGATAGCTCCAGAGTCATTCACACATACCCTGAAGCAAGCATCTTTGGCAAGGCCAGATAGACCAGCCAGGATCCTTCTAATAACTTCTGCCTCCTGAAAGGCACTCAGCTTTAAGCTCAAGATACGGCAACAGCCACCATTGTTAAAGCCTCTCCTTAGAAGGCCATGTTACAGAAAATGTGCATCCAGCTTACCCTCCTGCTCCATCACAGCCCATGCAGATGCCAGATAAGGTGCTCAAGGTTTTAAAGACTGCTTTCTGTTCCTGTAAACCGTCAGAACCTAAGTACCTTGCTAAAAGGGTGTCTCATATCTTGGTGAATACCATGGCAGGACCTTGAAAACTAGTCAAGTTTCCTTTCAGAATAGCTCTGAAGAACAGGCTGCTTTGTCTCCACCTAGTTTTCAACACAGCTGCTACTGGGATCAAGAACACACCACCTTCTCTTCATAAGTCAATGGAAGTATTACTAAAATAACTGGTCTCATATTTCCTACTTAAGCTCTCATTCTGTCTCTATGTTTCCTTAGAAGGCAGAGGAAATTAATTCTAAAAAATCTGAAAAATCAAATCTAACTCACCTTTGGATTTTGACTTTTATTACCCAGTCTTGATTTCCTGAAACCTCACCAACAGCACACAAATTTTTGCTTCCCCCCTCCACTCTATCTACCAAGAAAGCAACTTTGTTCTTCAGAACTCTGCAAATGTAAAGAGTTAAAAACTCACCCATGCATTCCCTCCAGAAACTTGGAAGCTTCCATCTACAGTAGTCATAACTGATTTAACCCTAGGATTAGCCATTCCCTTGTCAATTAAGAGGCTGTTTTGGAAACGAAAAGATTTATTTATCAATTTTCATGCATCACGTCAGACCAACTGATAAGAAAGATATTTACACAACAGTTGAAATACGCAGTATTTGCCTTTCATACAAGCAACTACACGCAGCCTGTAGTAAATTTGCCATGCAGTATTCAGATACTCCTCCCACTGCTACATAATTCCAGTTAAAAATACCAACATCTGTAATGTTCCCACAAGAGTTTCTATACCTGAGGTTTAGTATACCCTTTCAAGAGGAAGTCTGCAATTAAAAGCCACATACATAAGCCTATTTAAAAGATGTCATTCCAGTTGCAAATGGCTTGCTTCCTCTGAAGGCAGATCTGGTTTATTCTCCCTTAAGCCAGACAATACTTGTGATGGCTCTTCTTCAGAAGGGCTGTCTGCCTCATCTCCACAGTTATGCTCTTCATTTTCCTGTCTGGATTCCTCCTCCTCCAGAGCCAGACCCTCCAGTGTCTCAAGATTGTCAGGTGCTTGCCCAGTTAGCCTCTACAAATAAACAGAAGACAGTGAATTTAATATTTTTTCTACTTAATAATTATGAAATAGTGAAGTAAAATAAGATGCTGCATATCAAATTAAGCAAGCTAATTACCTTCATTTGGAGGTTGTTGATCTAATCAAAGCATTCCTCAGTTACAAAAAGGCACAAGTTCAACTCAAATTACTACCTCTTAACAGTCAACAATATGGTCTGCAAGTTAAGTTTTTCTTAGGTTCTTCAGTAGGACACTTATCTCAGACAACCTAAAATGTGGGAAACTGATTCCCAAGCTTTTACTATAGTACCATGCAGGTTTAATTTTAGATAAATTACCATACAACCAATTTACTCCATTTTTAGTTAGAGATAATGAAGCTACATTAAGTTCAGACGAACTTTAAGACCCAGCAGTCTCTAGCACTTGATCAACCTAGAAGTTCCTCACCTAACCTGATCAGAGAAGATAAACAGGACTGTAAAGAGGCTGGTTTTTGAAGCTTCTGGTTATTTGATGTATCCTTTAAGGCTCATTTAAGCCTCAGAAGGGAGGAGCTTACAACTAGTAAGTGATCCTTAACTGTTGAGAAACTGTAGAGAAGTTTCCAACTACATTAGTTCAAGTCCTCAAGTAACAGAATTTTGTGCCTGTAGGCTTATCGCTAACAAGCAGTATTCCCTGAGTACAAAAAAAAAATTCAAGTATAGCAAACCAGGAGTCTTTCAAGCCTGATCTAAAGAACTGCACTAACTGAAAATTATCTTTAAGTTTTTCTCAATTAAACAAGTTACTTGCTATGTTATTTCCTCTTGTTTCCACTTCCCAGTCTAGTCATAACAGAATCAAAGTACTTGCTAGGCACCCAGCTTCATATCCCAGTTTAATGAGAGCTTAATCCCTGCAAAAACAACCTGAAAATCAAGGTTACACAGCTATGGAGGTATTTATTACTGTTTCAGTGGCTCTTACAAACAACCCACTCCTCCTAGAGGAGAAATGGAATTAGTGACACAACTACCTGCCACAAGGAACTCTCAGAGGGAGGTGTCAGGAAATCTACAAGTTTATGAACCCTGGAAACTTTGTGTACAGCTCTTTTCTGGCCAGGAAACTGCCACTGCCCTGACAAAACCTTGAATTTAAAGAGCATAGCAATCCCTCTCTCCGCTCTACTTTGTAACTTTGTTTCAAGTTATATCTCAATGGACATAGCCAACACCAACCTATTAAGCACATGAATTTAAGTCATCCCAAAAAAGAGACAAATCAAGTCTCCCTTCCCTTATCACAATCTCCAGCATGTTAATCCTGTTCTGTTAAGAGAGAAGGTTGAATCCCTCCTTCAGAAAACATCCCATCTTAGTACTCTCATTACTCCTGTAGGTTCTAAGATGGGAAAAATTCATCCCCTAAAAGGAGCTTTATGACTCTAGAATTAGAGCAATCCTGCAGGAAACAGGTCAGAGAGCAATTTAAAATGAAGAGTCCTGTGAGCACATATAACAGAAGTCATGATTCACTATAAATACCTTGGCTGGTTTCTCGCTTTTTTGTTCTACAACATTAATTGAAAATTGCTTTAAGTACCTCAATCACACTGGTCATATAATGCACATGCTCAGCAAGGGACATGAGCTCTTCATTTTCTTCTTTTAGGCGGGCAATTTCATTATCCTTCTGCTCGATTTCTTTGTGCAACTGAGTTCAAATGACAAAATGTTAGAAGAGGAAGACAGTAGCCAGTGATGAAGCAGTTAGGTGTCTTTGAGTAGCTAGCTACCTTTTCATTTTCTTGAAGCACTTCATACAGAGCCTTCCTCCTTTCTTCAGCCACTTCTTTCCAATACTGAGATGAAGGATTTCCTGAAGTTAGAGGCTACAGTAAGTCTGTGGTAAGACTGATTTCTTAAGAGCACCTTAAAATATCTAACCTGTATACAAGTATTCTGTGAGCTGTGAAACTAAGAACTCGCTCCACATAGTGTTTTCAAAGATTGCAGAACTACAATTAGTGACACAAGCTTAGAGGAAACAGATCCTACACTGCAGTAATGCCTGTACAGTGCCTCCAGGAAGCTGCCTCAAGCATGGCATCATGTTTCTCCTCAAGCCATCTTCAAGATGGCCACATTTGCAAATGCTGCTCTTCTTTGTGGAAGACTGAAGTGCTACTTCCAAGCACTGTCCACACCAGGCATAATGGTTCTGAGAAACTGTGCATGCAACACACTATGCCAGAACAGCTTTCATTGCAACTTAATTATTAGTCACTGGAAAACTTATAGCTCAGCCAAAAAAACTACAAGACTCCCTAACACTGCTGCACACAATGCTTCTCAGCTTCTGGTTATTATGAACTTGTTCTTAAATACAAGACATCTATACTTTTTTTAATACAGAGGATAAATATCATCAACTCCTGCTAGACATTATGAAAAACCCACAAAGCCCTTATCTAAATTACAAAGGAAATATGTTTCAAGTAGTATTCCAACAGCAGCATAGCACAAGAAAACATTTCAGGAATTACCACATACCTTTCATAATGAGATCTTCAGCTTGGATGACATCATTCTCATTTTCTTGCTCCTTGTCCACAGGCACCTCAGCTTTACAAGCCTTTGAGGCAAATTTGTTATTCCAGAGTTTCCTTCTGACTGAAGATTTCTTCTGCATAAAACATGGACAGGTTTAAGTCTAGATCAACATCTCAGCCTTCACAATAATACAAGCTTCTAAACCCACACACTCATGACTGCAAGTCTCCAAGTCCTGCTTCCTTCACATTATAGCTCTAGTTTAGACATCTTCCTTAATACCCAGATAACTCAGAAATTGCTAGGTTTTAATACTGTTCATTACTAGAACAATAGTAAGCTTAAGTTGTGCCACACTAGTTAGCACATTTTTTTCAATATACTAGTTTTCAGTTAAAAGCTCAAAAGCATTTCATTATGACTAAAAGTAATTCTGTATCTACGGATTATCTTTTAGTTCATACCTCATTACACCTGCCAACCAGGCTACCTGCTGCTGAAGGCTGGATCATCTTAAGAGTCTGTCTTGAGGCAGCACTGCATGTGCTATCTGTGAGGTACTTCTGAAAAGACAAATCTGGTTCAGACAGTAGCCACTCTTCTTTACATAAACTAAAAATTAGGAATCCATCATGCTTCCATTAAGGTAACACACAATTCATCTTCTCAAGAGAAAAAAAAAAAGACACAGTAGCCTATGTTAGGGCTTTTGTAAGGAAGGGCATCTAATTATTTGTAGCAGAGATAGATCTGAATCACATGAAGCTATGATCAATCCCTGCCTCCTAGGAACCTTTCAAAAAGGAACTTGAGTAGAAATACTAGACTTCAAGGCCAGTGACTTTAACTGAAACTCTCAAACTTGAGTTTGACAGTAGGAGTCTCAGACTCTTGGGAACAGAAGTGACTGCAGTTGCACTATTAGGTGGTAAAGGCACATCAGGCAATAGCTGCTTTTGTAACCTGCGAACACACCATCAGCCAGGGCTCATTTAAACAGACATGTTAGTTTTATTATCCATTAAAATGGATCAAAAGTTTCCTTGCTTCAATCCAGACAGGCTATTGTTTTGTCTAACCAGTATGTTTATCACCCTTCCTATCATGCATAAATACCGCCTTCCTGCATCAAAGCTTTCTGATTGGGTTGGTTACACTGCCACCATGGGATAGCAAACAATGGCAGACAACCAACCAAGAACAGCCAGGATACAATGCCACACCAGCGTGAGAAAGTCACCGATTCACACCGTACTTCATAGGATAAGAGCTCACCTTTCCCACGGTAGTTTCTGCCACCAATTATGCTACTGTTCCACTAAAGGACAAATATTAACTGCTGTGGGAACAAGAATCACACCATGTGTCAGACACTGCTTGCTGCTACTTAGGATTAAAGTATACTCCGCCAAGAAATTATTGGCCAATACTCAACCCACTGAAAGTGCAGAAAGCCACACCAAGCAATTCCTACCCTAGAGGCACTACGGGACAAGACTGCCATAAATCAGACCTATTGATTGGTAATTACCATTAATACCTGAAGCTTTCATTCCAGTCATTATGCCTCATCATACAAGAACTACTAGCCTCTTATTATATACAGCTTTGTACCATTCTGGTTAGGGCCTACATTAAAAAGCTCACCAAGAAAAGTTACTAAGGTTTGTACCTAATCAGTTAACTCTTAAAAACCTAAACTTTCACCATTTCCATGGCAACTATGATTCATGAGGGTGACTTGAGAAAGTGAACTGCCTTCTTGAATACTTCAGTTAAAAGATGTTCAACACAAGACAGATATTAACTCTTCAGAAGTTCCCATCCATAAAGAACAGCCTATAAAACCTATTCTACAATCCCTAAGCATAAGCCAGACAGATTCAGTAAGCAAAGGCACACAGTCAGGACAGACAAACCAAATCAACCCTGCAAAATTAAACGGAGTGTCAGTAAGCTCAGTGTCAAAGCAAAAAGGACTTGCTGAGCAATAGGAAAAAAAGCAATCATAAGCACAATATGCCCAAGCAGGACAGCATGTTCTCAAGCCACACTGTCTGCCAGGAGGTTACTCAAGCCAAATGGACATAAGCCAGGTGGAAGCACATTGCAACAGATCCCTTTATATTCCTTCAGTGGACAGAGAAGCTTGTGTCAGACAGAGGTACCAGTGTCAAGACTTTAAAGCCTATACCTGCAAAGATCCTGAGGACTTTTCTGCGGTCAGTTTCTGTTTCATTTTGGAATTCATAAGATCAACTGCAATAGAAAAACAGTAAAATTAATACAGGATCCATCTACTCCTTAAGTTCGGGGAACACTAGTTAAAGAAGATTACAATTTCGGGTTATCGGCTTTCATGGCAGCTTTAAGCAGTCAGCCATGCACGGCGTGGTCAGCGGGCTGCTCCAGAGCCCCTCCTGAGGCTGCACCCGAGACACGGGCGGGAAGGCAGCGCCCCGCGGCCTTTCCGCAGAGATGGCAGGGGTGTCCCAGGCGCACACCCAAAATGGCTGGGGTTGGGAGGTGGGGGAAGGGGACACTCACCCACACCGAACCCCGACCCCGCTCCCGCCAGGCGAGCTCGCAGGGCCCCTCCCTCCCCGCGCGCCGCCGCGGCCAATGGGGAATAGCGAGGCAGGAGCCCGCCAACACCAAACTCGGCCGCGGAAGCCTGCGGCCCCATCCCGCCGCCGATGACGGCGGCTCCACCGAGATGGAGAGCAGCCCCTTCCCGTCCTTCCCGCCCCTGGGCCCCCGCTCACCGGCGGCCGCGGCCGCTCCCGCACAGACCCCGCAGCACGCGCTCCCACAGCCAGCCACCCTCTCGCGCCCGGCGCTCGGCTATAAGGAGCGCGTTGGCGGTCACGTGACCCGGGGGCCCCTCTCCGAGCCAATCGCGGGCCGCGCTCCCCCCGCCCCGCGCGCCCAGGCCGGAGCTGAGGGGGCGCGCGCTGCTGCGCCTTGGCGTTCGGGGTCTGGCTGCTTCTGGATTTTGTTTTTTTTTTCCTTCTAAAGGAGTTGTACCGAAACAGATTTAATCACGTCTCCGCCAATTCTCGTCGCTCCTATCTAAACAACCTGCAAAACCGGGGAAGAAAATTAGCAGTGTTAAGCCACACTAACTACAACACAACACTAATTTTACGCAAGATATAGACTACAGCTCTCATTAATTATGCCTAAAGCGCGCTGTAAAATTTGTTAGAAGCCACTTGACAATTATATTATTGCAAATATTTGCACATTTATCTTTTATTTATACTAATAGTATCTTCTGCCGGCACATTCCTTGCAATCAAGGTCTCAACAGCTATCAACATTTTATATTCTTTTATATTCTTGCAAATATTTGCACGTTTATCTTTTATTTATACTAACAGTATCTTCTGCTGATTTGCGAATAAACATTTTGTCGAGTTAAGGGCACATTCCTTGCAATCAAGGTCTCACTCACAGAACAGCTATCAACATTTTTTCCCAGGCAATATGATGGAGCTATTAGAAATTAGGATAATTACAGTCAGAAGTATATATTTAGCCTGCCATCTCCTGTTTGGAAATAAACTCTATGGCACTTATGAGAATGTTTTAAGTAGAATGTCATGGTCCAATGGAAGCAAGAAAGGCAGAACATAAAAAAAGATGCATTAGGAAATCTTTAAACAAGGATAGGGAAATAAAGCTGATCCCTCTTGCATAAACTTGTTCAGTCTCTCATTGACCCATTTAAATTTTCATTGTCCACAATATCCTTTGGCAAGTACTTCTAGAGCTCAAATAACCTTTGGTCTGAAGAGCACCATCCTTTAGTTGTTTTTTTTTTTTAATTTGAACCTGATTCTGATATTGGCACTTGATGTCCCCAGTCCTTGTACTGGAAGGGACAACAACCAGCCTGCCCTCATCTAGGCCACTGTTACACAGACTACTCTCCAGTTTTCTCTCCCTGGCCTACCTAGCCTTTCCTGAACATTCCTGTTCCATCTTCCTGCTTTTTTGTGAACTGTATGACATTCACTGGGCTGGCATTTCTGTGGAAAAATCTGCCATAATTCTGAGATCTTATTCTTGAGTGATGGTCCGTTCAAAGTTTGTCTTTCAATGTGTGAAATTAAGGTTTTTATTTTTTCTTATACATATATTTGTTTGATGTTTGTCTGCATTGAATTTCATCGCTGTACTTGCCCATCACTTAATGCCATAATGTCCTTCTGCAGTTTTTCAGTCAGGCCCTCGTTATCTTGAATAATATAGTGTCACAAGCAAGCTGTCACCTCAGTAAGCTTTGTCTTGCATACAGAAAATGAAAATAACACATGCAGAAACATCATCCAAATTAACATTGTTCTGTTACAGTACTAAAAAAACCAAAGTTCATGCTCTTAGGTTAGTTTAATTCTTGTTGATTCTGGAAGAAAATTTGAAATTTCCAGGTTTCATCACCAGCAGATATGCTTAGCTGGTTATATATGCATACAAATCCTATCAGCATTGAATGTCCTTTCAGAAAAACCTTGATACAGGTAGTGCCTATATAAGCATAATATAAAAACATCTCTCTTTTTATATTTTATGTTTTCTTATAAAGAAATTTAAAAATCCAATAAAAATTATACGAAACATTTAAAATTGAGGCACGAATCGATTTCTATCATAAATCATACATAAGAGGCACTGTGTGCATTTTATGGCTGCAATACATAACTTGTACATCTTGTAAAGACTGTGTTTTCAAATGAAACTTCCTCAGACATTGCTCTTTCAGAATCTGGGTTTAATTCATTGTCCTGGGGTGACTGACATTCATAAAAAGAATTCAGGTGGAATTACAGTTCAGAAGTAGAATAACTGCTTTTGGAGATGTTGGTAATTAGAAAGGTCTGAGGTAATGGAAGATGGTTCTGATGTGACAGTCCTGTTTGTTTTACCTTTTAATTTGTTCCTTGCTGGAGGCATGCAATCTGGAGGTTTATTACAAAGCTGCCACTCCTTCAATTTATCCAGCTGAAGAACGTGTCCTCTTATGAACCACCGTGTCCCAGAGTTTAGTCTCTTCAGTTTGAAAGGTTTGTAAAGAACCCCATCACCATCTCAGAAATAACACTGAGAGTTTATTATTAGAAGATTATTCATAGCTTGAATTGTGAGAAAACAGTATAATGATATAAAAACCAAACCAACTAAACAAACAAAAAGCGTCCATGTTACTTCACTGTAATAATTCCCCTTTTTGTAGCCAAAGTTTTAATTTAGATAGGGATTAGGGCGTTTTTACATGCAAAATCTGTCAACCTAATGGTAGCAGAATATATTTTTCTTCAGATTGAGTGCAATATAATGCATTTCAGCTTGTTTGTTTCATAAAAAATAAAACCCTCTGTCATGAATACTTACGACTATTTGCACTTCAAGTGAGCCTAAGCAAACACACCAAGGTTTCCCATAGAGCTCAGCCAATTTGTTAGATTATTCATGGCAGCAGAGAATGTGTACTTTTTAGAGCTTTTGTACGCCATTGCTCTTGATAAATGTTATCAGTTTTACAGCAAATGACAACTGAAAAAAAAAAAGCTCCTTGGAGGACTTCGTGTGCCTGGTAATGTGGGAATAGGCGGATCTCCAGCAAATTGGGGATTCTGTATTGTTTCCATACCAGTGTGTGGAAGCTTCCTGAGCATTGCATAGGGAGGGTCTGGACATGGCTGTGTGAATCAAGTGCTCCCAAAGATGTATTTGTACCTGACAGTCACATGGTGCCTTTTGTCAAGGCTCTCCTTGTACTCTGCAGGTAATGATCTAGCTCTGGGCTGCTTAAGGACTCTTCATTTCTACCTGCCACATTAGATACAGGCAAACCACATTGTGATTTTTAAAAATTCTGTGTACTGTGTTATTACATAAGTATCATAAATGAGCTCCTAAGGTCCCTCGCTGATGTTCCCTTGGCCCTCCGGTCCAGTATTTATTTCAGGGATGAAAGGGCTCCCCGCAGCCCGCCGGGTGACAGTAGGTGGCAGCGTGGCATAACGCTTCCCCTCCCTCTGCCTCTTGTTTTTTCCGTCGTGCTTCGTGCGTTACCGACAAGAAATTCATGGTTTGTCTTCTTTTCCCTGGGTTAATCAGCATGGAAGGCTGCATGATAATGAAATTCGTGCATTATCTACACGGCACAATCCAGGTATAATTCATAAGGCCAGCTAGGTTTGGATGACGGCCACTGTTAATAATTAGATCTCTTCAGAGACTACACAAATTTCATGTATTAGAACAAAAGATTGTCCTGTGAACCATGATCCTGAGTGCCCCAGAGGTGAAAAGTTAAAAGGAAAGTCTGCATCTCACCTGGTTATTTTTTTTCTGCAGTTAAGTACTGTGTGAGTGACTAAGACATCCCTTAAGACACTGTTAGGTCCTAACACACAGCTTCAAAAAAAAAAAAAATCATTTATAAAAGTGGTTTAAGATTTAAAAATTAAACATGCTCCATAAAGGCTACAAATTAATAATAAGCTAGAGCTACTGTTGACTGCAAGTATTTAGAATATTATTTACAGACTGAACAAATAAAACAAGGGTTTTTTTCAAATTTTACCCTTATTCTTGCAAACATCTGCTGATCAAACACAAAACCTACATTATTTAGGACCAATACCTCACATGCCCAAGAACTTACAACCCATTTTATGACCATGGGCCCCTAAAACTATAAGGTGGGACATAAAGAAGTGCCAAATTAAGCTTAATATTGTAGAAACAGCTGTGCAGTGGTGTGCTGATTTTGTCAGGGGTAGAGTTAAATTTCTTCTGTCCACTGCTGTCCATCATGACAAGAGGTGGAATAACCCAAGTTATTCTACAATTCTGTGATTTTAACTGGGTCCAGTACATGATACAAGGAAGGTTGTACACATTGAACACTGACATTTCATTGCACAAAAGCATTCTTGTTATGGCTTAGAAATTAATGTTTTTTTCTGAAGGCAGAAAAGAGTGAATCAGAATGTCCTGAAGTATATGAAAGAGTTTTAATTACCACCTAATTTGTCTTGTTTGAATTTACAAAGAATACTAATTTATTTTTGTCTGATGCATAAATATTTGGTGCTGAATTAATCATAGTTCTGTTTTTGAAGCAAGTAGCTTCAGGGCTGATTCTACTTCTAACATACAGTACAGTATGTATGGGATGTACAGAAGAAAGATAACAGAATCCATCTCATCTCTTCTTAAATATATCTATAATATACATAACAATTTGCAACAATCTATTAAAAACTAATTATTAACATGAAATTATTCATTTTTAAGTAACTAATCATTAAGATGGGAATTAAGAGCAGAGGCATTAGAGTACAATCTTGCCCAAATGCTTATGAGTAAACATGTAATTCTGAAAACAGGAATTAGACTCTGAAATTTTTAGGAAAAAGAAACCCAAAATGACAAGGTGTATCTATATAGTTATCAATCGTTTTTAATTTACAGAAAAAGCACAAGTTATTATGCAAATGAGTGCTTGATTTCCCTGAAAACAGTGAGGATATGATAACATGGGGACTAGAAAATAACAGTTTTTCAGGGAAGAATAGCCAGCAACCAGATGTTCTAAACTTTTCTAAACGTGCTTCTCAAAATTCCGTGACTCACTTTCTCTCCCAAGGAACATATTTTTTGCCACAAGGTCTTTCCTACCTTGACACAGGCCTTTGCCCATGCTGCTGTATTCTGTGTTTCTGCAGGATAGCAGCCCTGATACTGCGACCCCAGTCCTCAGAGGGGGGAACCTGTGTGCACCAGACGCCTTCAAGGGTACAAGGCTGCAGTTATGTGGTGTTGTACAC